AGGGACTGGAGGAGGTGTCCATCCCATTGTGGGCAGACTCTTTGGACCTGCATGAATAACAGCCTGTCCCCCAGACGAGCTAACCCAGGCTTTGGTGCCATACTTCCTTCCGTACGTAATGGAATGTGTCCTCCTGAGGCCTGGGTAACTAGTGCAGAGAAAATTAGTTCAGATGTCACCTTTTTTTTTTTTTTCGTTCAAGTGTGGCTGGATGCACGGCTGTGCACGATCACATGGTCCTCGGAAGCTGATTTTCCAGGGCCTAATCCCAGGGGAGCTGGATGCACTCTATGCTAGTTATTGATTCAGATCCCACTGGTGTTGAGCTTCCTGAGAAATGTAAGAATTAAAACACATACACACTACTCAGATGGAGGCGAACACTAACAGACTAGCCTTTCACGGCCACCTTTTCTTTAGGATTAGAAGGAAAAGAAAGCCAAATGACAGCTCCGGCAATAACCCCATTCCCCACGGGGTCATCAGAGGCCAGAGCTCTTGCGGGCAAAGGTCAACAGCAAGTGCCAACTAGGTACTGGCTCATGGTCCCAGCAGGACAGTTTGACATTGCCAAAGGCTTCTTGTTGTTAAAAACGGGTTTCCTGACCTTTCGTGCCTGGGCACCCGCACAGCTCAGATGTTTGTGCAGCAGGCTCAAGGACTCTCAAGTTCAAGTCACTGGCAGACGGGAGAGGAGACCTGGAATTTCGGAATTTCCAAGGAAGTGGGCAGGGCCTCATTCAAGGAGACTAAAGTCATTTGAACCTGAAGCTTGCCCAGTTGCTGGCCTAAGCAGTGATACCTTCAGTCCCTGCCACCCCACCCCCAACCATGGTCAGGGGAGCTGACGAAGGACCCCAGGTACTCTCTCAGTCTCTGCCTTGCCCACAGACTTGATGTGATTTTGCATGCTAATTAGGAGCTTTGCAAAACCAGAGCAACTCCCCTCCCTAGGGTAAGCCTTGTTTTCAGTTGCTTAAAAATATACCGAGACAGACATTTCAGGACACCAAGTGACCCAGAAATCAGTTCAAAGGTTTTTCTGTTCCCTCACTCCCCAGAAGTCAGGCATTCCCACAGGGCCTCAGCTGCGGGTGCTGATAGCTCATTCTTTTTCTTTTTCTAAAAAATATATTTTATTGATTTTTTTATAGAGAGGAAGGGAGAGGGATAGAGAGTTACTAACATCGATGAGAGAGAAACATTGATCAGCTGCCTCCTACACACTCCCTACTGAGGATGTGCCCGCAACCAAGGTACATGCCCTTGACTGGAATCAAACCTGGGACCCTTGAGTCCGCAGGCTGACGCTCTATCCACTGAGCCAAACCGGTTAGGGCAACAGCTCATTCTTGTTACATGTGCGAGCAGATCTGGACCTCCCACGATGTTTTTGGGGAGAAGCTGACTTAAGGGAGTTGGCCCTGCTCTGTGAGGGAAGGAACACAGTAAGCAGAGGTCTTTCTGAGAAAGCTACACACAGGTTTTGATGCAACGATGAATATTAATAGTCACAATTTCATTACCCACCCCCGACTCCCTGGAGAGAATGGGTCAGTGTTCTCATAAAACTTTGCTTACCCTGTTAGCACTAATTTGTAAAGGGCGTCCCAAAATTCACACAAGATTTGAATTCTACGCCATTTGTGCCGGAAAGTGTTGCCAACGACAAAAAAGATAGCGTGACAGCTGACAGTTCAGGGTTATTAGAAATGGAGCACTACAGGAAAGAACAACGCGTTTTCATTGTTGAGCAATAGTTTAAAATAATGAAGGTTTGGCAGCCACAGTTTGCAAAATATGGTCGGAATAGGGATTTAACTTCATCAGCTGTGAAGAGATTAATTAAAAAATTTAGGGAGACTGGATCAATTAGTGATCTTAAACACTCTGGCCGTCCTTCAACACAAAACATTGAAGCAGTTCGTGAGAGTGTTGCTGATAGTCCAGGGACATCAATTCGGCACCGTGGTCAAGAATTGGACATTTCGAGAAGCTCTCTACAGCATATTCTCACACAAGATTTGCATCTTCATGCTTCCAAAGTTCTATCGACTCAAGAACTGAAGCCTACTGACCACGCACAGCGAATAGAGTTCGTTGGATGGATTATGGAACAACAACAAGCGGATGCTGATTTTTCGAACAAAATCATCTTCAGCGATGAGGCTCATTTTCATCTTGATGGCTTGGTTAATCGACAAAATTGTCACATTTGGGGTTCAGAAAATCCACGAGTGATTGTTGAGTAACAAATGCATCCACAACGTGTCACTGTTTGGTATGGATTTTGGGCTGGAGGCATCATCGGACCATTCTTCTTCGAAAATGCAGTTGCTCAGGCAATAGCAGTTAATGGTGCTCACTATTGCGACATGATAATCCAGTTTCCTATTCCATACATAACCCTATACTGTATGCTTTATGAATCAATAAAAAATTTACAATTTTTAATTATAAACCTGTGTTTTCTATCAAAATTACTTCTTGCGTGAATTTTGGGACACCCTTTACTTAAACTGTTGGAGGTGCATTCTGACTTACACAAAGAACTGAAAGGTGATGGTGAGGGAAACTTCCTTTCCTGCAGTCGTTCCACATGTCTTGTTGGACTTGGGTATAGAAAGAATCTTTGTCTGGAAGCTGATGCGAACTGACTACCATCATTTATTGATTTATTCTGTGCTCACTTTATGTTCATCCAAGTAATAACCCCAGAAGGTAGGTACTATGATTGCTTCCATTTTTCAGATAAATGGAGAGTTAAGAGAGAGGAAGTAAGGTACGAAGGTAGTAGAACTCAGTCATCTGAGAGCAGCCTGGACCTTACGCATCACCAGTATTTGGCCTCTGTTGGTGCTGTGTGGGCTTCTGGTAATTTAGGATTGTGAATTGGTTGGAGAAGCTCATTCCCACAAATACCCAGGATTCAGTCTGCACTGTCTACTGGGAGTGAGGTCCTGGAAGCCTGTGAGCTGCCCAGCCCCAAGGGCCACTGCACCATAAGGCCCCTAGCCATTCACTGCTATTTGCTACCAGAGAGGAATATATCCTTCCCTCTCTCCCTTCCCTCCCTCCCTTTGTCTAATCTTGTCTAGTAATTTAAATTTTTTTTAAAAAAAGTGGCAATTACCAAACTATCAGAATGTCTTACCAGGGAGCACGCAGTGCTGTTGAATGGCTTTTGAGAAATTAAATGAAAATGTAAACAAAATATTTTGATTTTCAAAATGCATAGTCAGATGGAATGAGACACATGGGCCCCACTGAGACACAGAGGGCTGAGTTGTCAGAGACTCAGTTCTGGGGGCTTCACTGAGGGTTTCACTTTGGGCTGCGTGGCCCATGGCAGGTGCCGCACACCATGGTGCCACCCCGGGGTATCAGCCTTGTTGCTGGCAAGGAAACGTGAGAACCAAGCTGTCAACAACCCTGGCTCCCGCCAAACCCCATTTCTCGGCCTGCCAGCCAGGATTCTAAAAATGCATTGGGGATTTGGCTTCTGGCTTTTGCTGAATATGAAATTCTACTATGCATATATAGCCTTGTTAAGCTGACCCCGCGTAGGGATAACTGATATATTTTGTCTGACAAGATTCAGCATCCATTAGAAGTGGTTATCATGAGCCCCTTGAAAGTAATGAAAGGCACTGCCTCTTCCCCCGCATGCGCAGGTCCCCACTCTGAATCTCCCACTCAGGGAGTCCAGTCACAGACTATTAGGATTAGCGGCAAAGCATGTGCTGGGGGCTTCGGGGGATCCCCGGCTTTGTCCTGGGCTGTGGGAGCCTGTGCGGGCCCACAGGAGCAGTATCAATGATGACCTATGAAGACGGAGGGTCGTGAAATGGTGGCTGCCACTTCTGCCTACATTTCATTACTTTGGACCCAGTATTTTCAAGAGTGAAATTTCTCAGATTTGGCAGGACGGCCTTAAGTTGAGCCATCATGAGCACCCGAGTCTCTGGACTCCGGTCAGGTATCAGTGTGAATCCTGGTGGCAGTTAGAACAAGGTCCTCAGTCCAACCCTTTCAAAACATATAACACTTATTTTGTCAGATACAGCATATGCAACGTGTGCAGTTTAAGGAACACCTGCAGGCCTCAGTGGTAAGGCGGGCCCGGAGCTTCGGCTGCTCAAGGCCCTCGCGAGGGAGCCGGCCTGTGGCAGGTGACGCGAAGGGTGAATGACGTGCTCTCGCCTCACAGCTGAAATGTGCCTTTTCTCCGAGCGAGTGGTCTGGTGGCCTCACAGCCCCAGAGCAGCAAGTGGCTCATGATTCGCCCCTGATGGTAAAACAGACTATGCACAAAGCACTTGCTTGCATATGTGTATAACCATGGACACAGGCGACAGGGTGCTGAAGGCCTGGGGTGGGGGGTGAGCTACAAGGGGGTCAATGGGGAAAGGAGGGGGACGCATACAATACTTTCAATAATAAGGATTTGAAAAACAAACAATAGACTGTGCAAATGTACTTACACTTCCCCCCCACTGCCTCTGTTTCTGCACCTCTTCAGCCCCTTCCATGAAATTTTTTTCCAAATATATTTTTATTGATTTCAGAGAGAGAGGGAGAGAGAGAAACATCAATGATGAGAGAAAATCATCGATCTGCTGCCTCCTGCACGTCCCCGACTGGGAATTGAGCCCACAACCCAGGCATATGCCCTTGACCGGAACCAAACTGGGGACCCTTCGGTCTCAGGCTGACACTCTATCCACTGAGCCAAACCGGCCAGGGCCCATGAATTCTTTTAAAGGCAGCTGAGCAGATGGCATACACCCATTTCCCTCCCTACGGCTACAGGCATGCCCAGCCTGTACCCAGTCGGCCTCACTGTTTGGTGCCCTCGCAGGAGACAGAACAACTAAGACTCCTCGGGAGTTTCTGAGGAGCTCACGGGAGCAGCTCGACTCCTCCCCAAAGGGACAGGCCAGACCCCACAGGCAGGCCGTGCACCATGTCCCCGAGGCTGTCAAAAATGTCAGAATGTGCACAGTTCAAAATATTTTATTTCAGTTCATACAAAACACAGTCGTGTACAAAAGCGTACCTAACGTTTTCATCCAGCTTACGTTTTTTAAAAAGGACAGTTCCAATTTCTAATGCTTTCTGCTTACATTGTTCCGGGCCCATTTCATTACGAACATTGTATCGGCTCCTGGAGATTTTCGTGACTGGGGAGGCGCTTTCAGAGGGAGAACTGGGTCTGCCAAAACGGTGCCCGAGCCGCGCACATGACCGCGACTGGCCGGATTCCAGGCAAAATGAGATTCTCTGGAGACCTAACTGCGGCTTCATGGCAACACGAAGTTGTGGGTGTACAGAGTTCACTTTCATCCCCGTCTGTGAAAGCCTACGCGGTCGCGGTCTGCCCACACACACCTGCTGTGCAGGACCAGGGGAAGAACGCGGGTGTCCGCAGGGCTGTCTCCGCTCGGCAAAGTGCCGGGTGACACGGGGCAGGCAGGGACAGCACTCCCGTTCGGAGCGGGCGGCGCGGCCAGCCGTGAAGAAGGGCCAGGACGCACAACTTGACAAAATACACTCTGCAGTACATGTGAGGGGCAAGTGGGGGAACAAGGCCGGGGAAGGGAAGCATGTTCTGGGTTTTGGGAAATACCTGGGCTTCAGAGGAAACACTGCCTCAACATGTTAGTACAGCTCTGCCCCTCCCTGCTGACTTAGCCAAACGGATCCTGGAAAAGAACAGGAAGGAAGTGCCTGTCGATCCTGGTGCGGAAGCCACCACTCCCACCTGCGGAGAAGGGAGCGGGGATGGGGAGGACCCAGGAGGCAGAGTGTCAGCGAGACCCCTATTGGAGGCAAAGGGAATTTAGACTACAACCTTCTCACAGAGCAGTTCCGAGTTTACGGCACTCAGGTATTCATATAGCATCAAACGTAGGAAGGAGTAACCCTTACGAAAAATGGCATCTTCGTTATCAGATTAAGAAGCACTAAAAAATTAAGCAACAAATTTTAAAATTGGATTTTCCTTGTAAATCTGTGATCAGTTCTAGCTATTGGGCCCAATTCTGTCTACTGAGAACTAGGCAGCCCCAGAAAGAACCAAAGTAATTGGCACCGGGGCCACCCTTTGATTCTGATAAAAAACCTTAATATTGCAGACGCACCTGCCACAGGCGCTCTGCACTGGACCGCAAAATGAGGCAAAGCAAAAACCACACCCAGGTTACAGAGAGCCGGGACGCCGCTGGTCCCTGCCCAGGCCACACTGACCCTGCGTGCCACCTGCTAACTGAAGGGAAGAAATCTAATCTGATTTGATTTCATGGACATTTCCCCTGAATCGGAGATCACAGACCGGCCGGCTTTCTTCTACCAGCTCAGGAAGACGTCGGCTGTCTCGAAAACGCCTAAGCAGGCCCTTCAGACTAAACCCTGCACATACATGACTGACAAGTGCAATCTGAACTCAACGTTCCAAGATGAAACGCAGTCATGATACCGCACTTCCCGTAAACATCTATTTCAGTGTTTGCTCCAGACTAAGCCCAATAAAAGCAAATGCTTGTGGAAATTACAAGCCTCTTCTATCTCTGATTCTTACAACCGCACAATCAAGTTTATTCATGCTTCACCTTTACTCACTGTGAATAAGTAGCCCTTGACGTTTGTTTTGTGGGCACGTAGCAGTACGCACACACATTCCCAAGAGAGCAAAGGAAAAACATAGCCCGGAGTGAAGCCAATTAAGGTGCTGCCTCCAGGGCCTTGAGACCCTGGGCTGCAGAACTGGTTGCTGTGGAAACAATTTTCGCCTCAGCATTACTGGCAGTCGGAACCTACGAACGGGTCTTCATATAGGATCTAGTGTAAATAGGTCTCCCCCACTTAATTCTGGGTGCCATTCCACAAAGGATATAGACGATTAGAATTTTCAAAGGAAAACACGACATTCCCTACACAATTTATTTTACTGTAACTTGGTGGTGTCTTTTATTGAATCGTACAAATTTGAATGGGGTTTCCTGAATAAATCTTTTACATAACTTACCTTTGGCAGAAACAATAGATTTCGAAACATTTACAAACTTCTCATTTATATAACTTTTCCTCTTTATAAATTCCTTTGCACGTTAGTATTTTCAAAACAATACTTTTAAACAGATGTGCTTTAACACTCAGCTGGTCATGATGTGATTTACATCGTAGCTTATTTAAGAGAACAATTATTTACAAGGGGCAGACGAGGCATGTATTTCTTTTAAAAATACAATTTTTGGTCATGTGAATGATTCATTTTCTGATTTCAAAAATAGAAAACATCCTAAAGTGCGTCATTTTATTTATAATATAACTCCTTGAAATTATAGCCATCTGCAATGTAAACAGTAGAGCAGAGAATACCAAACTATATTTTCATTTGCCTTTACATTTACAAGGTTCGGTACCGTCTTTAAGTGTGTGGATGAGACCAGGGCGCTGCGGACACATTGCTCACGCTCCTACAGAAACACACTTCGGAGCAAACTTAGGGGCGTTCGTTCTCACCCACTCGCAGCTCGAACGGCTTTCAGTCGACAGAGCTGCCCCCTCACTTTAGCGAGGGGAAAGGCTGCTGTAAATCCCATCTGACCAGTTTCTCAAGAACCCGTTTTCTGAAACTGACAAATGGTCAATAGAGTTTTATATTTTCTTCTTTTTAAAAACACACACACAAAATGGCACAACACAGAGGTGGGGGTCCCGTGGTCCTGTCCAACCTGCAACATTGTCTTCAAAAGGCAGAGCGGCCGGAGCGCCCCCTCCCGGCAACCAGCGGCTGCGGCTGTGTGCGGACCCTGCCCCGCCTCGCAGCGCACAGGGCGGACCGAATCAGAACCCACTTTCCCTGGTGCGGACAGAAAAGCGTAAAAAGTAACAACAAATCACGAGGTGATGTCAGCACACTGTGGAGATGAATGATTTGGTGTCTGAAATTCCCTGGTCCCTCCATAATGTCTAATATAGACAGTTTTGTGACACAGTCTTTGAAAAAAAATTATAACGTAATCGGCTACACATCATGATTTGTTCTCTTTATACATGATCTTGAAATAGTGTGATTTAGATTCTGCCCTGGGCTGCGATCCAAGGGCTACATTTACCCCTGAGGGAGGGGATTTTAGTGCAGGTTTACTTAAAAAAAAAAATTGGTAAGTACTCAGGTGGCTGAGAACACGGGTGCTCTCGCTCTCGCTCTCTCACGATCCTCATGCGCTTCGCTAAGAATGAAACGAGGCCCTTTCCATGTGGCTGATGGAAGCCGAGCCCCACACGGGAGCCCCACACAACATGCTGGCCTCGCTTCATCTCTGATGCTCAGATCCCAAGACTGGTGAGTGCAGTCAACGTTCAGGAAAGGCCTCTCTAGGCTCGGCACCCTGTTACCGGATTTAAAAATCGGCGTCAGCGTAGCTCCTGCTATCCTCCCTCTGTCCTCTGCGGTGACCCAGGCCCGCAGGGACCACGGTTCCGGGGCAGCGGAGGACGCCTCGAAGCACACGGGCAGGGATGTCTGCTGCCTCTCTGGGCAGACGCAGCTTCCACCGCCCTGAGAGCTGACGAGAAACAATTCACAGCGTGGGGCAGGCGCCGCTCTGTGGACAGGCCACAGGATTGGCCGGGGCAGCAAAGAGGGCTCCAGCGCACGGCCCCATTTACGGGGTCCAGAGAGCACAGGGAGCTGCCCAGCAAGTTTGCTCCAGGAAGGCCTGAGCTGGGTTTCATCCCAGCTAGATTGCATTCTGCTATCCATGGGAGCAGAGTGCACATTCTCTGTGGATGAGGTGCCTCCATGTAGTGATTCATCACCGCTAGCGTTACAAAGGCTCCCGCGAGTGTCCGAGCGCCATGAACGCAGGGACCCTGACTTTCCCTTACAGGATTCCCAAGTCAGGACCAGCGCGGCCTCCTCCCAGCAGGTGGCTTCTAAGGCAGGCGATGGAAACGAGCCGCTCCCAAGGCCTGGAGGCGGAAGGGCTCCAGGCTTTGCAGGTCCAGCTCTGAGGCTGCCTCCCGGTGTCTGCAGCGCTGCTCTTGGCCGGGGAGGCAGCTGCTCCAGCGGGGCTGCCCCTCACATGGACTTGGAATCAGCGTCCCTCTTGCTGATGAGCACCTCCAAGAGCCTTAGTTTCGCCTTGATGTGCTTGTATTCGCTGTACTCTTCAGCCATAGGAGTGCGGTCCTCCTTCTGGACATTTCTAACGGAAACAAATGACAGGGGCTGAGGATCACTGGCCGTCTCCTGGATGATGCTGTTCAGCAGGCACATCATCAGCGGAAACATGCAGTTTATCAACCCGTAGCATCAGTGTGGCCAAGCGCCCCTGGGGGGCAAGCCTGGAGCTGGGCTTAGACACGCAGTGAAGGACAAGGATCTGGCATTTTGTAGGATGACACGAAGGACTAAGAAACGGAGAAATGTCCTCTTTCTGCTGCTGGTATGTATGCACTCACATTAAGAGTCTCCCTACACTGAAATCCTTTATTTCTACTTAATGCTTTCTCACGTTTACATATTTCATCTAATAAACCGTTACATTTCTAGTTAGCAATTGGTACATCCATAATTTATGTGTTTTTTAACTGATGTTTTTTAACTAATGATTATAGTATTAGTCTTAGAATTCAACAACTGAGTCATATACTACTAATAAGCCCTTACCGTCCACGAGTAATTCTACATGCACTCTCTCACATGCACAGTATCCATGGAGAGCGTGTTTACATAGGTCAGGCCCTGTGCTGAGTGGCTCTGTCTCCGGGGTGTAACATAACCCTCAGGACGGAAGCTGCGGGCCTGTCACCCACACTGCACACGGGCTGAGCGCAGGCCGAGAAGCCAGTCCCGCTGCAAAGCCACGGCTCCCATCACCGGGCGGTGCCGTCCGCTTCTCATTTCACCTTGAAATGCACACGTCAGACGTTCAAACACCAGGCTTCCTTTTCTTTTTATTAAAGAACATGGGAAAGGCAATAGCGTGGACCTTATTTTTACGTTGTTCAATGAACGAAAAATAAATGTATTTATTGCTGGCCTGCCTTGTTCAGGGAAATGATTCTAGATGGCTTCCTGGCACAGGGTAGTGAAGGAACAGGGTGGTGGGCAGAGCCCCGGCCGGGCCCTCCGAGGGGCTCTGATCTCCTCAGACACAAAATGAAGAACCAGATTTTACGATGTCGGAAGTCCCCTAGAGTTCTAACCTTCTACGATGATTGTGAGTTCCCATCAATTATACTTTGACTACTTGTGAAGTTTATACAATTATATATAGTTAGTGCCTCATGTATAGGATACCTGCACATAATGTGACTATAATTATATGGGAAAAAAAGGAAACAGACAAACCAAAAATGTGCCTAGAAAGAAGACTGGAAAGAAACACATCAGAACGTTAATCCTAGCTTGTCTTTGGGTATTAGTATTACTTCGGAGGTGATTTCTTTTATCTGCTCACCTATATTTTCTAAATACCCTGCAACACACGGAGGGAGAAAGCAAATATTTAGGTATAAAATTTATAAATCTCAAGAAAGTCATTAGAGGACAAATCCAAATCAGAGACCCTAAACATAAGTGTATGCAGTGACTGAAATAAACCGGAAAACAACACATTCTACATGCCAAAGTTCATTTTTATGGTCCTTTCATTTCCCAACACCTTTGGGAAGCACGAAAGGGGGCTGACTTAATGAGAAACTCTATCTACACTGTTCAGATAATTGGATGAAAATAAAATCAATTCCAAATGATAAAACTTAACTCCAGTGCAAGAGACACAAATCCATTCCCTGCTCTGCCCCTGCCTCCCGCTGTGGCCCGAGCCAGACATGCTGTGTGCAGTCACTTGCAAAGGGAAGACGATGCTCAGCACAGTTACCTAAGGACTCCATTGGCCTTAAACTCGCTGGAGAAAAGTACCCTGTCAGTCAGGCGGGTGTACTGCTTCCTGTATATTTTTCATCCAAATGTTATTTTAAAAATGTGCTTTAAAACCAGCAAGATTTAAAGTCCTCAGTTCCCTATTTCTCCTTCTAGTTTCTTCAGACAAAACACAAAAACAAGCCAGTGCTGTCGACTGGAAACGTAGCTCCAAGCTGCTCGTCTTAGATTACGATGTGATGTGACAGGTTTGTTTTATAAATGCTGGGTCAGTCTGCATGGGTGTTGGACACCCCCCAAGAAGCACCCTTAAGGACCATGCGAACCTCATCGCCTCCCAGTCGACCTCGAAAGGGGCCCTGGGCACAGACCCCGGGACTGGGCTACAGGGAGACGGATGCAGAGGGCCCCCGCCTGGGAGGCATCCCACAGCCCTGCCAGGAAAGGAAAAGGACGCGTGTGCAGAGGACGGGGGAGGGGAACACATGCACTACCTTCCATTTTGTCTGAAGAAATTGTCCTCAAATTCACGAAGTTTCTTTCGAATCCTCTTCTTTTCTTCTCTCATTTCCTGAAGGTGTTCCAAGAGTTCTGGCCTAAGAGAGGGGGGTAGGGGGGCGGGGGGAAAAGGAAAGAAAATCGAGTTAAATCTGAATTGTCATAAATGCAATGAATGTGCAACTCGGTGGGGGTTGTGGACACTGGGGGAAGCACATATGTGCAAAAACTGTTGAGGGAGCTGAGGGTCAGTGGAAATGCATGATTTCTATGCCCTGAAACAATGACAACAGCTCTGGCTCCTGCTACTGGTAAATTCTTTGGGCCTGTAAATCCCAGGTGCTTTGTCATAGTTTGTTTTGAGAGAAAGAGATGACATCTGTGCTCAGTGAGTGCTGCATGATGAGCTGTGGAGGACAGAGCTACACAATGCCATTTGTAGAGACTGCCTGGTTGTATAAGCAAGAGCTCAGATGCTCCCTCAAATAACACAGGATAAAGCATATACAAAAACGGAGCCCGAAATTAAAAAATAAAAAGTCACTGTTTTAGTCACACAGTCGCACCCCAGGTGAGTCACTTGTGTTTTGTTGGCCAATGTAAGTATAAAGACTAAAATAATATTTAGGAAAGTTATCTTCACCCAAATATTTTACCACCGCCACCACCAAAACGACATACATTGAAGCAGCATGCAGGTTTGAAAGCCCGGAGTCCTGGCTGCACTTTGATGGCATTTTATCATCCATCGGGGAAATAAACCCATCCGCGCCATCTTCAAATTGGTCGAGAAAACAATGAGCGCTGAACTCGGTTTTCAGAGTGACCGTGAAGTCTGGCTTGGTGTTGCTATCTTCTTCTGAACCCTCCTCTTCTTCCTGGAGACACACAGCAACCCCAGCCAAAATCTGGTTACTTTTCCTGGTACTCTTTCATTACAAGTATCATTTAACAATCTTAATTATCTTGACACCATAAGGTTTCTTCTATATCTACCGTTAGCAACACCTACATACCTTATGTACATATTATTGAACAGCTATATGTACACAGCAGGTAACACAAACTAAACACAGCCACTCAATAGGGAAAAAAAACTATAAAAATTGGTGTACACACATTTAACATTTATACCCTCAATCAAAGGAACCAAACTAATCTAAAGATTCTAAGACAAAACAGGACAAAACCCACCACTGGCAACCAGTTTTCAGAATTCTATTGCTTGCATATCTCAGGATATATTTTTTATTAAGCGATGAACGTTTTTAGAAATAGAACAATATAGCCTTTCTATTTAAGGACTGAGATTATAAAATATTTGTGGTTGCCTGGTATACAAAATCTTAGGGAACTTTTGAGATCAAAACATTTATCTTCCATGACTTGAATCATAAACCTCCTAAGTTCTTTCAAGGGATGTCCAAGAGTCATGAGTATATTTTTCGGCCTCCAAGATTCTAAGAAAAGTATCATATTCTTTGCCTGTCTTGATGATAATGCACTTAGAAAAATAATACTGTCATATTAGCATTTCTTAGTGTCAATTTTAAAGCTATGATAAGTCTAGGTAAGAAATAACATCACAGTCTGAAAAAAGACAAAATTTTTTTAAAAAATTAGTTTATATTCAATATTATTTTGTATTAGTTTCAGGTGTACAGCATAGTGAAATAAAGATTTTTAAAATAAGTAATTTACTGCCAAAATATACAATCAGACCAGGAGAAAACATCCTAACATCTAGAAAAAGGAAGCAACTGGTTAGGAGTACAGCTCCATGAACAAAAGGAAGCACAACGTCAGTTCCAGTTAAAGCAGCAAATCTACCTCAGGAGGCATGAGCAGTTAGCAGGAATCAATATACAGATAATCTGTGAGCAATTGATAGCCAGGGATTGACAGTGATCAGCACTGGCCCCTATGAACAAATCATGAGAACTCACCATTTCCCCCTATTTGATGGGATTTCAGTAAAGAATGAGGTGAGCTGGTTGTGAAAGTGTGGAGAGTGATGACACCGTGGTGACGTGATTCTGGAGAAAAAGCCTGTAGTAGGCTCTTTACCTGACTCTGCCTTACTCAACATTTATCAGTCACCGGGATAAAGACACAAAAGGCTATTTACAAAACGTGTAGGTAATGCAAGGCGGGTGGGGTATCCGGTATGCTGGAATACAAAATCTATACTCCATTTCGTAAGGTTGGAATAGAAGTACAAAAGTAGCTAACTGGAAAAATTCAAGGTCCTGCAATTAGGTTGGGGAGAAAGCTGGACACACAGACCTTAAGCAATCCGTGGGAAGGAAGCTGGGGATTGCATAAATCAACCGCGAGACAGGCCACCACCGGGGCTTCTCAATTGGGCGGATCTTGCCCCCTAGGGGACCTTTGGAAATGTCTGGAGACATTTATGGTGGCCACCCCTGGGGATGGTGTGGTTGTAGTGCACTATTGGCATCTAGTGAGTGGAGGACAACCCCCCACAACAAGCGTTATCTGGGCCCAAATGTGTCCAGTGCTGAAGTCGAGACATCCTGCAATAGGAAAACTACAATACCTTCATGATACAGTGACAGTCACGCAGTCACAGACGTGCGGAGCTGAAGGGCCCATTGAGGTCTTCCCCACGGAGGTCCGGACTGGTCCTCCACCCTCTGCCTTGCTGGTTAAACCATATCTAGAAGGGTGTATAGCTCTGGGTATCAGCTTTTAAGAAGGATGCTGATAGACTGATGTGTGTATAGAGCAGAGCCACTAGGCTGCCGGCAGGTCTGGCACCCACATCATATGAGAAACAGTAAGAAGTTGTTGGAGAAAATGTTCACAGAGTGCGGGTGGGAGTGGGCAGGGCAGGTGACTGACTGCAGGAAGTGCTCTCACAAAAGAAGCGCTGTGCATGCTCCATGTCGTTCCAGGGGGCACAGCCAGGCCTCTTAAGTAGAAAGTAATACATCAATAGTAACTATGGATGTAACTTTTCATTCTATTCATTAACTGTAAGATTTTATAGTTATTAAACTTATGGTACATTCTAGAATTATATATATCTTATAAATAATTATAAAACAGTGTACGTTTTAGTTACTATTGATGTTTAGCCCAGTAATGAGTGCGCTTAGTCTCCCTGGTGCTGTAAACTTGTCAAGCTTGGAGAAGGAATCTCTTCTTAGGGTCAGTGTCTCCATTCTCTCAGCCAAGTTCTAGAGGGAATTTTTATGTTGGGTAGGAGATCTGCCGAGATGACTTCTAGGATTTCTGGGCTGGAAGACTTAGGGCCTCAGAGCTTGAGCTGGCCTTATTTCATATACACTGGTTTCCCCCCAGAAACATTTAAAATAAGGGATGGTTTAAACAACAACAACAACACTTACATACAATCTTCTTATCTGTACACAAACCAAATTCTAAATTGTTTCAGAATTGTCAAGAATTAGTATAATCCAAATACATGCTAACAAGCCTGGCCAGTTGGAACAAAATTAACTAAAAGACAGCACTATTTACAAAAGCATTGCAATCATTGCAAAATTATCTGAAATTCTGACCAGCATGTGGCCCAGCAGAAGAGCCACGGCCAAAGTATACTTGTGAAAAAAATTAACCAAGATAAACAATAGGAGTTGAAAGAATGTCCTCTTTTTAAGAAGAGCGTCATTAGTATGCCTTTCATTTGTTTAATGAAGCAATTTTTACCTGTCATATTTTGGAGGTGTTAAAGAACACATTTTAATCTAGTAACAGTTCTATCACATGATTCTCAGAGAAATACATTAATTTTTGTACATATAATTGCCCAAATTTCTTCAATTATGGTGACGTGATTCTTGTGTGAAATTACCAGCTAGACAAAATGTGTCTTCTTTCTAGGCTTATTGTAAGAAATGGCTCTAATTTTTAAGATACAATACAGCACAGTCACCTCAATTTCACATTTAGAGAGTTTTCATAAAACACATTCCATTTAAAATAATATGAACAGTCAGCACAGTCATTGTCTAATGAGGTGTATGAAGTATTTAAGGCCCTTAAAAGGTAAGAAAAGAAACAGTAGATGAAAGGGAGGCCCATGTAGCTTCTGGTACCTTACCTCCGCTTATAAAGGTGAGAATTAGGTAAGAACAGGGAGCCGTTCTCAATTGGCATCCTTTTGTGGGAACGAGGCCCCATATTCTGGAATAATCCTTCCTAACTACGGTAAATACATGACCACCCCAGGCTGGGAACTGTGACAGAAACAGGACAACTGACACTCCTAAAACTCACTTCTGCTTTGGGTTTTGCTTCCCCTTCCAACTTTAACAATCACTGATTTTTTTTTTTAAAGGTTGGCATTGACTCTTCATCTCTAGATCCTGATTTAAGGCCACCCAGTTTGTTCAATTATCTAGAAACAAGAACATGAAAGAGGCTGATCCCCATGCAGGCCATGAGGTCCTTACAGGGACACAGATCTCTGAGCACAGATGGTACCTCCCATTCTAGCAAAGGCAGCCACTGAGAACAAGGGTTATTTGTCTAAAATCCATAATTACTTGGGAAATAAATCTGAACATATGTTTAGTGACTGCTGGTCCCAGCACTACATTCACTGATTAGGAAGAGATTATAAAATTAGGCCTGAGGACAAAGTGTGCCAGGGGAAAGGGGAGAGGCAGAAAGAGTGGGTGCAAGTGAACCAGCGAATCTGCCAACAGCAACTGTGGTATTTGTCTATAAAATGCTAACTTTTTATTGTGTGCTATACATATTGTCTTTGCTAATTTTGTTTTTTTTAAAAACTCATTAAATGAGATTTAAAAGAAAGTTATGCAATGAGCTAATTTAATAAAAATTTGAAATATAGAGAAACTGTTCTCCAAATGGGGGGGGGGGGGCCCAAAACAAAAAACAATGTGCAAACAAAAGAATCATCCCTGAAAACAAACAGCAACAAACAAAACATCAATAAAAAGCAGGGGAATGACATGAAACTAAAGAAATCGGCTAATACAAGATATAAAGAAAAAAAGGAGTGTTCAAAGTTGGCTCTGTGCAGATGTGTAGGGAATGCTACCAGAACCCATCACCAAAGGCCCAACCACAACCCCTTCCATTCCCAGGAGAAAGGGAGGGGACTGAGGCAGGTTTAGCAAGAGGTTAGCAGCTGGAGGTCCTCACCTTTGACTCCTTGAAGAAGAAAGCAGTTTCGCCCTCGATAATTGGCTGCAGCAAAGGGCTTCTCCGCTTGCTGGAAGGGGAACCCTGCGAGAGGCGGGCGTTGACAAGTAGGTTACATTGCGAGCCCCTCCCCCTTTCCCGCCAGCTCTCCGCCTCCTCTGCCTCACCAGGATTCATTGCTGCCCTTTAATGATGTGCTCTAACCCCCTCCCACTAAAAGTTCCCAGGAAAACCAGCAACAACCAAAGTTCTTTTCAAGTTGCTTCTTCACTCCAGAGCCCCACTCCTCCCCCGCCCCAACCAAGGAGCTCCCATGAGAGCAAGAACAGCACACACGTACCTTAACCGAACACGCAGAGGAAACCGGAGCAGAACCACCCACCTGCCTCCCCACCCCTTTCCTCCCCAATCCCAGCCACCACAAGAACACCTGCACTTAACAGCTTCACGTAGAATAGCGTCCGCGCGAGACGTGATGCAAAGGTTCTCTGACGACCCCATTGTCCACTCACCCTATTCAGGGACACTAAGGGTTCCTAACTGAAGCATGAAAACGATTCCTTAGATTTAATCCTTGTGTTGGTTAGCTACTAATTCATTCCGCAGGGCATTTCTAGAAAAGGAGCTCCCTTCAAACACACCAGCCTGCAGTCCCTGGACCGTCCCTCAGTCACAGGAGCACGTGCACTGTGAAAAGGCGTGAAGGCCCCAGCGGAAGCCAGGAAATAAAGGGAGGCGGGAGAGGAATGGGGAGCGGTGGCCAGGGGGAGTAAGCCCTTCAACAACACAAGGAGGCGGTGTCTGCTTATGAAAGAGCCTAGAAGCCAGCAGAGGACGCCTTCAGGGCCCTGGACAGAGGCAAGGAGTCTCCAGGAGGTGGACACGGATTCACAGGGCACTCACAGGGGGAGGTGGAGAAGCCCAGACTGTGGGGGCGGGGGGAGGGGACTGGCCAGTCCTGAAAGGCTCTCCCAGAGCTGCTGCTCCCTGCTCCAGACAAAAATCAAAACTCAGAGGCCAACAGCGGCTAAGTCCCAGGATGGTGGCCTCTGAGAGCACCTTCACAGTCATTAGCCTCAGCCCCATTCCACCTCACACTTCTCTGAGTCCTCCAGAAGGAGAAGGCCCGCTGTCCGGAGTTCCTTAGCAGACTTCTCCCTGGACAGGAGCCCTGTATCCCCTCTGAGAGGCGGAGAGAAGGCTATTCACAGTGGCCCCTGGGGCCAGAGGCACTCCTGGTGTGCAGAGGCCTGGAGAAAGCACAGCCCTGTCCCCTGGGTGCTCTGCTTCGGAGGACAGAGTGGGGGAGTCGGCTCAGCATGTGTCAGGGGGATGTTCCTGGCCAAGCATGACTCTCAAAAGAAAAAAAAAATTCTATCAGCTTCAGATTTGCTCATTTTTCTTTTTTTGACCAGTGTAGTCTCAGAAGTCTTTGACAAATTCTTCATTCCTCAAGCTTACGGGCCATCGATATTAATGGCACGATCAACTCTTAAAGCCTATTCTTTAATGAGAAGGCAGGCTAGGGCCCTCCTATTAGCCAGGGCCTATTCAACCAGGTAACCAACAACAGAGAGGTGAACTCACCATGATGGGCATGGTGTTGGCTCGGGACAGGATCTGTTTGACAAGCCGGTACCTGTCATAGAGTGGCTTCATAACCTGACGTTCATTCTTGGTGACCTGGAAAGCAAGAACAAGAGAGCTGAGAAGCCAGGCTACCAGCTGTCCCAGCATGCTCTGGGTCTAGAGAAAGTACAGATGATTCACATCAAGTCTCTCTATTCTCACAAAATTTATTTAAACTGACAACATTATTCAGTTGGTGTTTAAAATATCTACTTTAGCTACAGATCATTCTGGGAATCACTCCATTAGCAGCTTGGTTTTCCTAAATCAAAACTATGATCACTTTTAGTTCCTTGTTTAAAACTCCTCAAGGTTCAGAGTTCCCAGACCAGGGGTGGGGAACCTTTTTTCTGCCAAGGGCCATTTAGAAGTTTATAACATCATCTGCGAGCCATAAAAAATTATTGACTTAAAGATTAGCCTGCTATATTTGATCAAACATTTAATTAACTCAGCCCTAATGCCTTGGCAGGGCCAGACCAAATGATTTGGTGGGCTTTATACGGGATGTTCCCCATCCTTGTCCCAGATAATTTACTATTTTCTAGTCCAGGAAAGAAGAAAGCATGTATTCCTGTTATTATACTTACCATGCAGTTTTGTAATCAGAATTTTTTTAGATGTCTTTCTCAAACCCCATGAAATTGTTTTGTTTTTAAGGACAAGATTCTGGCAAACAGTAGGATTTCAAGCAATATTGGCTAATATAACACATGGGTTGATTCATCTCTGCATACCTAAAATCTGGCATAGTGCTCACATATGTTTAAAGGACTGGGTCTATAGGTAGTGGGGAGGAATCAAGCCCAAGTCTCTGGTATAGTATTTGATATAGTATTTAAAGCTCTTTATCTGCTGCTTCTCCTCCTTCCCATCATACCTCAAGCTCCAAGGATAGACTAGGTTGTCCCATACCTCCCTGTCTAGTTCCCTTTGTCCTGGAATGGCTTTGGTTTGGCAAAGTCTCCTCTGTGCAGACATTTTCCAACATCTCCCATTCTGGAAGACCTGCTCATTCTCTCCTTTGTGTCACCTACTGCAACCTGTGATTTGTAATTTTACATCTGCTTTGTTACAGACCGAATGTTTGTGTCACTCAAAATTCATGTGTTGAAGCTAATTCCCAATGTAATGGTATTTGGAAGAGGGGCCTTTGTTCTTTTTTCTCTCTCTCTGTCTCTACTTATTTATTATTTTTAAAAGCTAACCATTTTTTAAAATATATTTTTATTGATTTCAGAGAGAAAGGGAGAGAGAGAAACATCAATGATGAGAGAGAATCATTGATAGGCTGCCTCCTGCACACCACCTACTGGGGATCAAGCCTACAACCCGCGCATGTGCCCTTGACTGGAATCGAACCCCAGACCCTTCAGTCCATAGGCCAACGCTCTATCCACTGACCCAAACCAAATAGGGCTGGAGGTGGGGCCTTTGAGAGGTGACTGGGTAATGAGAGGTAGGATGCCATGAATGGGATTAGTGTCCTTATAAAGAGTCCCCTAGTGCTCCCCTGTACCCACCCCCTTCTGCCATGTGAGAACAGCAAGAAGGCTGCTGTCTATGAAACTGAAAGAGGACCCTCACCAGACACCGAATCTGCTCACAGACACTGAATTGGCTCACACTTTGATCTTGGATTTCCCAGCCTCCAGAATTGTGAGAAATAAACATTTTAAAAGGTTTTTAGAATGGATTTTTAGAAAGAGAGGGAGAGAGAGAAACACCGATGTGATAGTATAACATTAACTGGCTGCCTCTTGCACCCCCCCATCCCCCCAACGGGGATCGAGCCCGAATGCCCGGGCATGTGCCCTGACTTGGAATCAAACTGGCAACCCCCAGGTGCACAGGATGATGTCCAACCAACTCAGCCACACTAGTTAGGGCAAGAAATAAATTTCAGTTCTGAATAAGCCACCCAGTTCTATGGTAATCTGTTATAGCAGCCCCAATGGATGATACATTTTTATACTCTACTAGAGGCCCAGTGCACGAAATCATGCACCAGTAGGGTCCCTCGGCCTGGAATGCAGGATTGGACCAAAACCGGCTCTCTGACATCCCCGAGGGGTCCTGGATTGTGAGAGGGCGCAGGCCAGGCCGAGGGACCCCACCAGTGCACAATCGGGGCTGGGGAGAGATGCGGGAGGTTGGCCAGCAGGAGAGGGAACTGCAGGAGGGCTCCAGGGCGTGTTGGGCTGGTCTCACTCAGTTCCAATTGGCTAGACCCCAGCAGCAAGCTAACCTACTGGTCGAAGTGTCTACCCCCTGGTGGTCAGTGCATGTTGTAGTGACTGGTCAACCAGTTGATTGTCTGCCACCTGGTGGTCAGTGCACATCATAGCAAGCGGTTGAGTGGCCTTAGCATATCATTAGTATACTACGTTTTGATTGGTTGAATGGCCGACCGGTCAACCAGACACTCAGCATATTAGGCTTTTACTATATAGGATAATAACTGTAGTTTGTTGACATTTCTGTTTCCTCTTTAGACTATAAGCTTCTTGAGAGCAGGAGCTTGTGTTTTCTGTCCCTGGCAACTATTTCAGTGCATGACATAATAGAAATAGTCTATAAATATTGCAGAATGAGTGAACAAATATTCCAAACATAATTAGTATACCCAATTCATTGATATGCATGCATTTCCCCTGTTTACTTAAATGATGAGAGATGAAGTATCTTTAAGATTGCTATTTGTCTTCTGCATTTTATTTCCATTGCACACATAGTGTTAGAAGTCAAGAGAGTGGTTTTCCTCGGTGGGGCAGGAGGGCATGCTATGGGCGGGAAGGGACACCAGGGAGAGCTAATGGGGGGTTGGTAACATATTGTGTCTTGATCTGGATGCTGGTTACCTGGATTTGTTTACATCAAGACATATAATCTGGGCTCTTTTCTGTGTTTATGTTATCCTTCAAGGAAAGTTAAATACAGCCACAAGTAAGTCTGAAGAACAGAAATGGAATGCTAGTACAAATTTCACCTGTGAGATGACAAAATTTAGGACTGGACCACACGAAATCGTGTTTGTTTTTTTTTGATACAGGATGTATCCATTAAATGTGTTGCTGATAAGTTAAGGCATATCTTCACTGTCGACACGTGATGTGGTGTGATCTAATGTGCAAGATAAACAATAGATGGTTTAGTTACCAAAAGGCACACTACAAATAAAAAGCAGCAGCCAGCCCTTTCCCACTGTGGTCTAGCTGCTGGCAGAAACATCTCTGATTTACAGAATGAGACTTAGCTGGTAAAATCAGACAGATAGAGCAAATTTCACCAAAACCAATTTCTTTTCAATTCTTTATTCAAAACCCAAATTTTCTAGTTGGATTAGATGAAGAGGCTCACTGACTTAATTCTTTGGCTTATTTTGTTGACATTTAGATTTTCTATGAATTGCTCATGTTTAAAATTAATGACCCTCAGGAACTAACACCTATAAATGATCTAATATAATTCAGTTTTTGACTATGGAAAGTTGAAACTCATCATGACTCCACCAAATTTAACACTGGCATTTGATAAAAGTATCTGAACATAAAAAATATCAAAGATCTTTAAGTTTGAGTGTAGAAAGTAGAAATACAACTTGAATTACACCAGAATTATTTTCAGACTATATATCTGAAGCCAAAGGGTTGTTCATACTAAAAGTTAATATAGCTTTCACCTGTCACATGCAATTGTCCGTGCTGGATTTGTGAGCAGAGCCAAAAGCCAACCAAGAGTCAGATAAACAAAGCAGGGCTTTGGCTGGACTGTCAGGAAAGGACAGGCGGATGTGAAGTGGGCCATGGGAAAACCATTCGGAGGCTGACACTCTTATTCTTGAGTCATCAGTCATCAGGGATTCCCCTACTGACCAAGAATAGGCCTTTGAATGAGTGGATGGGTATTTCTGAGTCATAAAGCTGCTAGCAGAAGACATGAGTTGGATTCCTATAACTTGCATTCTTGGCCCATGGACTGGAAAATGACAACCCTCTTTTCTTCATTATCAGGTAAAAGACAGTAGGCTAACTGTGCAACGATCAGATAATCCCAAAAAGCAAAGGAGAATACTTATATATAGCTTTAGAATTTGCATTTAAATTTGAACATGATGTTGGGTGTCCCAAGGTTTTAAAATGTGAGATTAAAATATACTGATGAGGAAGAGACTCAAGAACCCAGGAGCTCTGAGCAAGCAACCCGTTCTCTCCCTCTCCCCTGTCATCAAGCAGGGGTCTACGAATAAGGCAGAGCAGGGAGCTGCAGCCATCTGTGCTGCTTCCTTCTGTGACATTGTCTACGCCTGAGAACCTTCAATACTGAGAAGGGCCACTTTAATAATAATTTGTAGGGAATATGTGTCAGTGTGTAAACGAGTGTGTTTTGTTACATGTCAGTCTGCCTATTGCGTGCCCCGTGAAAGCAAACGGCCTTCTTTAAAATGTATAGAATTGGCAGATAATTATTTTGGCCTGTGACTTGGAGTTAGTGTCCCTTTAAATCAGAATCTGCAGATTCAGCAAAACCCAGGAACTAGGAGCACCAACTTTTCTAAAAAATCCTAGAGTGTGGAATGATAGTTTAGCACTGGGAGTACATGTATTGTTAATTTTTTTTTTAAAGAGCGTTGCCCAAATGTTATTTACAGTCCAGGGTCCATGGTAACACCACGGATCTGAGAATGAAAAGTTCACTCTGATTTGTGGACTGGCCAGGTATCAAACGGACTCTGCCTTTCCTGAGGCCGGAGCATCGTGTTCCAGAGCGAGGCCGAGGGCCTGACCCTGCACCAGGAACAAGTGACGAACTCCCAGAGCATCTGTTCCCTGCCTCGTGAGATGCTAGAATCTGACCCGGAAAGGCGTTCTTCCTTCATCAGAAAGAATGATGAAAGGAAGGGGAATAGAAAGACAGGGCCAAAAACTAGTATTTCATATTGCTAATTATAAGAGTGCTAAAAATGTGCATTCTTTCTCCTGATTCAGTCACTAAGAAGTAGGCCACAGGGCGCGGAACATGTAATTGTAACAGAAGTGAAAGCTATCATTTACTTGGCAATTCCCTCTCCCCCCAGCAGAGCCACTCTGCCCAACTTCCTTCAGTGCCAGACGCCCTACAGGTAAATGTGTGTGCCTGTAAGGTCACTTAGTCTCCAGACGACCTAAGACAGACATCTATTACACCGACAGAGCCCGAGGCTCTGAGAAGTTACCTCCATGCCCGAAGTCACAGAGTACTTCTATGACTAGGGCTGGGTTCTGAACCTATGTCTGCCGAACCTCAGCAACACAGCCACAGGTACCTCGTCCACCCACCCCCAACCCCAACCTCCTGAACTGGCTTAAGGTTAAGTCTAGGATGCAGCTGAGAGATCTCAGGGCCCCAGGCAAGGAAGCCTTTAATCAATGTCGTGCCATGAATCCATGCAATGAAAATAAGTAAAATACACAAGCCTTGCCTCCTTCGCCTAGGGGCTGTCTGGGGCCATGACGAGGCACTCAATGCTCTGAGCCTACTGTTGGCAGTTCAGTTTCTGGATCCTCCAGTAGAGAAGGACAAAGCTTCACAAGGTATGTGAGCTCCAGTGCATTTACTACTTGGTTCAATGCTTTTAAAGATCCAAAACAAAACTTGGCTTGAAAAAAAACAAAACAACTTGGCTGGAAACATGACCGTCATCCCAGAGAGCCAGTGTTTTTCCACTGCAGGGCAGGCCAGCAAAATCAATCACCATCAGCCCCAGCTTCTTTTTTTTAGCTTAAACCCGATAGATTCAGAACCAAAATACCATGGAAGATGCATTTTACAGATAGTTCATTGGGCATACGCTGTGGCAGGTCTTGTGATACTGGCTGAGGATTAGCTTCACAAAACCCAGGGTCCCGGCCCTCACAGACCTCTAGTGCATTATTCTGGAAGCTTCTTTATTTAAAAGAACCTATCTCAGGTGAAAAAACTGTCTCTATTATATAGCTATGCTGAAACTGGAAAAGAGATGCATGCTTTTTGGCTATATGAAAATCCTTCTGTAGACATAAACTTCATGTTTTTTATACCTGCTTTTAAGAGTTGATTTTACTGGGTTCTTGACAACATTCTGAACAGGCTACTGAGAGTAACTGACATGGACAGCTGCCTATAGGTTCCCTAAGGAAGAGAGAAGCATATCATGCTCCTGTCTTCCCCGGACTGACACGAACTCTCGCTGAGTAACGAACTGCCTCAAATGCTCCTTGTTACGAAAAGGCAGAGCCCTGTTTTGGACTCCTCACACTTTTGGTTCTGGGTGGCAGCTGCGACTTCTCCATGGACAAACACTGGTTGCAACTGCTCTGCAGAGAGATCAAATTTGAGGGCAGATGATTCGAGTTTAGCCCATTTATTTATGGGTAAGAATGCCCGGAGCCAGTATCAGCTCATGGAGGCAGACGTAGGGACAGCGAAGGCTCCTCACTCCAGGGCTCTGTGCACCAATTCATACACCCCTCGCCTCCCCACAGTCGTCCCTTGAAGCAGGACACCAGGGACTAAATTTTAGTTGCAAACTAATTTTTCTTCGGAACTCCATTAAATTCAGCATCTACAACGTAGTGAAACTCTTATCACAGGTTTAGCCTTCAGAAAGCTTGGTTCCGGTGAAAACGGAGTCATCTGCTAAACAGTAAGGAACCTCATTATTTACAAAATACCAAACACGGAAGATCCATTTCTAAAGCCAGAGGATTTAGCCCGCTCAGAAAGAGAAGTCAGTGCATCCACATACCGGCCGTCCGTGAATGCTTTCGTAATGTAACAGAGCTTTCTGCAGGGCCACTTTCTCATTAGCAATCTGGTCTTTGGTCATGTCCTGTACAAACACAAGGAGACATCAATGAGAAGGGGAAACATTTGTGAACATTCCAACTTCTTGTTTTTCTTCTTCTTCAGCTCAACAATAAAAAAAAGTAGGATTAAAAAGAATCCTCACACAACAGCTCCTCCTCGCTCTATCCAAGCTCATTTAGGAATGAGCTACTCCTGACCTCTTGCTAGAAATATGATAGCACAGCAGAAACATCGACTTCCTTGTAGCAGCAAAGGCGTGTTGAGTACTGAGGCAAGCAAGGCTGTGAGGCACACGAGGCTCTACTTAACGGCCCAAGCGATGTCTACACCGATAGATTCCATAGTCCCAAAGGATTAATGCCTTAAATGCTCCTAATAATTCTTCTACCCAAGGGCCACCAAATTGTGTATGAACCTAAATAAGTTCATTCTGCAATCTGTAGAGTTTTCTGCTTTTAATTTGAAGTAAAAAACCAAATTAGCCACAGTTAAAGCACTCGAAGTTGTTTCATCGGCTTCTCTAAACATCTGTGAGTGCGGAAGATGAGGCTGTGGGAGGTTTCCAAAGGTGTCCCTCCACCACTCTTCCCATTGGGACCTGTGTGGCATGTCCTATGCTTCTACCATGGTTTAGGGCAGTGGTCGGCAAACTGCGGCTTGCGAGCCACATGCGGCTCTTTGGCCCCTTGAGTGTGGCTCTTCCTAAGCCTTAGGAGTACCCTAATTAAGTTAATAACAATGTACCTACCTATATAGTTTAAGTTTAAAAAATTTGGCTCTCAAAAGAAATTTCAATCGTTGTACTGTTGATATTGGGCTCTGTTGACTAATGAGTTTGCCGGCCACTTGTTTAGGGTGAGCAGTTAGCTCTGGCCTTCACCAAATCACACCTTAATGTCCTCGGGACGGCTGCTCTCTGCCCGCTTCTCCTGCAGCTTCCGCTGGATGGAGTCCAGCGTGGCTTCCACGTTGGGCTTGATTGCTTTATCTACCACCTCTTGCTTCTTCTCATCTTCTTTCTCAAGTTGGGAACCGAAACTCCTGGGGAGTGTATTGCTTCGCTGCCGCAGCCTGGGGGTTAGGTCCTCTTCAGATATCTTTAGTTTTGACTCTAGTTGAAAAAATTTGGGGGCAGAGATATAGGAGAATTGACGTCTGTGATGTTAATAGCAACTTAGTCCTGCCTTTCTCCCCTCCCCCCCTCCCCCCCAAGAAGGTATATAATTATAACATTAGTTGAAACACCTAGGTTATTACATAAAACCTGAGAAAATGATAATGTCTTCCTGGGCTATCTGAACAGTTTCCCTAACCTTCATTCCTGAGAAAGCTCTAGGTCTTTTATTGAATATCTGTACTTTAGCCACACCAACCTGCTCACTGTTCTCAGAATGTGGCAGGTGTTCTCCTACACTTACTGCCTTCGTGTTTACAGGTACTTACTGGTACTGATCCAGTGCCCAACTGCTGGCCAACTTTTTGTGTGTGACTCATGTCCCTCATTTTGGAATTATTTTTTATTTTGTATTCTATTTAGTTGCTTATATGTCTGCCTCCTAAAAGACAGCAAGCTCCTTGAGGGACAGGGGCCAAGTCCTTTTTATATTCATTTCTGTGTCTACGTCTTCTAATACCACAGCAAATAAAGCCTTAGATTAAACAGGTACTTAATGAGTATTGAATTGAAACCATTAAATGAAGAAATGTTACAGAATTTGCATCTTAGAAAATCTGGGATACTTTGTGATTAAGACCATGGAGAAGGTGTCCCCTAATTGCTGAGAGCACTGGGAAGCAGCCTTAAGGAACTTGTCTTTCTGGCATATTTTATTATTTTTTTAAGATATATTTTTATTGATTTCAGAGAGGAAAGGAGAGGGAGCGAGAGAAAGAAACATCAATGATGAGAGAGAATCATTGATCGGAGACCACTTATTGTCTTCACTAGCTCAGAAGCGTAGAGACCCCAAAAGCTGGTGACCTTTGAAGCCCAAGCAAAGGTCGGAGCTGTGCACTGCACCACCCAGTTAATCTAGATAATGGTAGCTGAAGAATCCTCCCCACCTTAATTCATTTAATTACTTATGTAAATCCTTATTGATAAGATAGTCTGCCTATTACTGGAAATTGCCTGCTGATGAGTTAGTCTGTGTGTTACTGGAAATTCCCTACCTAGGGGCTATCCCAAGATCAATAAAAGCTTGGTGAGGCCTTAGCACCAGTGGAAGTCCTTCTCCTTGAGTTGGGCTTGCCCGCCTGGCTCCCCAATATTTCCAAATTATCTCATGTCTCTTTTCTTTCATTTGTGTGCGGCTCCGCTTTCAGATCCTGAACCACACGGGATGTGGAGGGAAAACACACTCAACATGCACGTTTCCTACTAAGGATAGAGCCTGCAACCGAGGCATGTGCCCTTGACTGCAATCTAACCTGGGATCTTTCAGTCCACAGGCTGATGCTCTATCTACTGAGCCAAACAAGCTAGGTCTCTTTCTGGCATATTTTAGCAGTGGCACTAGGCATGAGATTCTGTACCTGGCTTTTATATATATACATTATTGACTTTTTACAGAGAGGAAGAGAGAGGGATAGAGAGTTAGAAACATCGATGAGAGAGAAACATTGATCAGATGCCTCCTACACATCCCCTACTGGGGATGTGCCCACAACCAAGGTACATGCCCTTGACCAGAATCAAACCTGGGACCCTTCAGTCTGCAGGCCGACGCTCTATCCACTGAGCCAAACCAGTCAGGGCAATGTGCCTGGCTTGTTTATTAGAAACCACGCCATAGGTCTAGAGCTTTACCTACCTTTTAGTTGTTTCCGGAATTTGGCAAGGTCGTTTGTCCACTTCAGAACCTCAGGGTTGGCTGCTTTGTCGCTGTGGGAGGGCTGAGAAAAGGAAAATTATGGTGAATGTCTTGGAATTGGAGCAGGAAAAAGAAGCACTTGATGATCAGTTTGTGTTAAGAAGGAAGGAAACATGAGTCTCATTGGAATAAGAAATTAACCAGGACCAATCAGGGCAAACTTCACAAGTTTAATTCCAGCATCCTTCTTTACATCTGGTTATTTTTGATGCTTTTAAAGAATTCCTCAGAGGCAAAATGATGAATTTTTATGGTTACAAACTTGTATAAGGCCCATGGATGGCCCTGTTTCCATTACTTGTAGGGTTCAACCTGTCAGGCTAACAGAATAGAAAGCAGAGGAATGTCTGATATTTTACTCTGTAACCACCTTGAAAAATGCCTTTTTGCTCTTCTTATGGGAAATACCAAGGAAAGAGCTGAGAGTAGAATGAGGTCAGTACTAATGAAATTTTAGAAGATAATCTTGAATTAAGTTGTAGCTAAACAAAAGACATCACTTAATGACTTTCCCATTCTGTTCACTGATAAGTTTACAGAATGGGAAACTGAAGTGTTCAAGTTATCCTATATAATAAAAGGGTAATATGCAAATTGACCCTAATGGTGGAACGACCGGTCGCTATGATGACACTGACCACCAAGGGGCAGAGGCTCAACGCAGGAGCTGCCCCCTGGTGGTCAGTGCGCTTCCACAGGGGGAGCTCTGCTAAGTCATAAACTGGGCTGACAACTGTGAGTGCAGTGGCGGTGGCGGGAGCCTCTCCCGCCTCTGTGGCAGCACTAAGGATGTCCAACTGATGGCTTAGGTCCGCTCCCCAAAGGAAGTGGGCCTAAGCCATCAGTCGGACATCCCCCGAGGACTCCCAGGCTGCCAGAGGGATGTCTGATTGCCAGCTTAGGCCCAATCCCTGGGGAGCTGGCCTAAGTTGGCAGATGGATATCCCCCAAGGGCTCCCAGGCTGCCAGAGGGATGTCTGACTGCCAGCTCCCCAGGGGATCGGGCCTAAACTGGAAGGTGGATATCTCCCGAGGGGTCCTGAACTGCGAGAGGGCGCAGGCCGGGCTGAGGGACACCCCTGAGTGCACGAGTTTTCATGCACTGGGCCTCTAGTTTATAAGAACACATTTGTGCGAGGAAAATGCTGGTACATGATGTTTGAGGTGTATGAGAGTTCACTACCCTGTCTTTATTGCCTTTTTGCTTTGAGACTCCCTAGATATCTTGCTTAACCTTTACCATTTCTCTGCATTGCTGACATGTTGGCATGTCACATCAGAGAGAGGAGGCACTTACTCTGTACTTCCTCTCTTCTTCGAATCTGTCCTCAAACTTCCGGATCTTCTTTTTAAGGCTCTGAATCCTTCGTGTGAGCTGGGCAGGTGTCAGGTCCTCGTGTTCGTCATCGTAGGACCCCAGAGAGCAGCTCCGTTGCCTGTGAGGGGAAACCTTGAGTCAGCTCCCCAGCAGTGAGAAGAGCTGGGGGATGAGGAGGAGGCATGGAGAGGGAGGGTGTGAATGGTCTTCATGCTCTCCAGTAAAATAAACTGGACTACTAATTTATTTTGTGACTTTGGGCTCTATATGTCCCACCTATTAAATGGGTCTAATTTCCTCTAGCTCACATTTATAATTAGCAAAGTTAGGATGGAAATGTCTGCTGAGGCTTCAAAGTTAAATTTGAGAGAGCTTTGGAAAGGAGGTGCCAACGCAAATTCAGACGACGAGATCGGGCGCGTTCAGGGTGGTGTGGCCGTAGACGCCAACGCAAATTCAGTATGTGATGTTGCAGTTGGGCCATAGTTCAATTGAGAAACTACGATGAAGCCTGTGTCCCAGGAGGGAGGATTTTAAATATATTCCTTCACAGACTTACAACTTAATTAAGAAAAATTATTGCCCATCAGCCATGACTATCCTAATGATGATGCATTTGCTGATCAACAAAAAGAAACCTACCTCATGAAAGAGTGGGAATTTGGGGGAGAAGGAGGCACTTCTGTGTCATCCAGGTATTGCCTACTCTGTCCATACGAGTAGAACCGAGGAGAGATCATGGGGTCGCTATCTTCGTCCAGAAGCTGACGAATGAGATGCCCGGCTGGTGGGGAGAGGGGCACATCGTCAGAGTCCCCGTTCTCCTGCTGCCATGAGGACAAAGCAGGCATGGGATCTGGAAAATAATGAGGGTTAAGAGGTCAAAATCATTCTAAAAAAAAAGAAAAAAATATATATATATTGATTTCAGAGAGTAAGAGAGAGGGAGAGATATAGAAACATCAATGATGAGAGACAGTCATCGATTAGCTGCCTCCTGCGCTACCCCCAGGGGGATCAAGCCCACAACCCAGGCATGTGCCCTGACCGGGAATCGAACCATGACCTCCGGGTTCATAGGTCGACACTCAACCACTGAGCCATGCCGGCTGGGCCAAAATTGTTCTTTAAAGCACAACTGCTTGCCAAGTTTTCTGAAAGCATTAGGAGGCAATGAATTTAAGAGGCACAGAATGGTTTCTCATTTTAGATTTAAGGTTCTGACTAGAGACACTATGTCCCAACCAGAATCAACAATTGTCTGAGAGCCATCATCTGTCTTCTATCTCCATCCTCACTTGCTTTCAAAAGAGAATTTGCTAGGGCTACCCTTAGGAACAGCCTTGAAGGAACAATGGTGTCTGTCCCGACTCCCAGCTGCAGGTCACTGGCAGGAACTTTCCACACTTTCATACGGAAAATAAATGTGTCAGGGAGGAAGATACTTGGCACCTTGGCTATCCATCTTTCATTAATGTACAGAACTCCAGCTAAGGCATCACAATAATTGTGAGTGAGCCCATGATTTAAGAGCTTGTGCCTTCCATTGAGGTTTAGGTAAGCTGTTTCGTGCGCTTCTGCTTAGTGGTTAGAGTTAGCATGTTTAAGATGCATGCTTTTCAGTTGAAATTTCAGAAGCTGCTCAAGAATACAGTTATAGTAGGATATACAAATTAATCACACAAAAAAAAGGAGAGAAAAGAAGAAGGCCTTATAAAGGATAAATCTGTACAAATTATCTTAGACGATCTTTAAGGAAAAGACATACTCAGTACAAAAATCCTCATTTATGATTTTGGGAGTGCAAGATCCACCTCAATATATTCCTTTCCTTATTGAAAAAAATCCTATCTAACATATTTTAAAGATAGGTCTCAGATGATGTAGGATATTTCATTTCTAATACTCTAGGCATTAAAAAAAGTTATGCTTTAAATGCACTTGTGGATCACTGTGATTTACACAAGGCTAAGATCTGGCCATGATTTTAGATTCTGGCACAGAATGGATTCCCACAGTCTGAATCATGGAACAATTGCTCCTTCAGCTATCATAGTATTTATAACATCTACAAAGTTATCTTCAACAAGTGCTACTCAGTATTTTATTTGAAAAGATCATATTATAATCATAGAACATTACAGCTCGTTGAAACTTCATACGTATCTACTCTAGTGATTATTCAACCTGGCTGCACGTTAGGGGCAAGGAGATAGAAGTAACTCCCAACGTACAGGTCCTCACATCACACAATTAAACAGAATTTTTAGATGAGGGCCCAGATACGTAGACCACACACAGACACACAGACACACACACTTTTAAAAGCTGCACAAGTGATACCGAATGCAGTCAGTTTTGAGAACCACTGATTCAACCCAACAGATTACAGATAAGGAAACTGAAACCCAAATACCTAATCAATGACAACAGCTGGGACTAGAAACTAAATCTCCCGACTCTAGGACAGTGCTTTAATTTAGAACGTGCCAGGTGCTGCAATAACAAGGATGACTGTATGAAACTGTTGAAGACCCCACTGTGTCGTAGGAGAGATAAGCACATTAGTGAAAAAAAAAATTACCCTCATGTGGAATGAGGTCCCTAGTTTTCTCAAGATTTAAAGAGACCCAACTTATCTGGGAACTCAGATGATAATATACATATTTGGGAAAAAATGAAAAGTGTTGAAGACAGACTCTTGCCCAGTGAGTCTCAAAGGTGGCAGCGAATCTGTTGGTACATTTACTTGGCTGAAGCTGGAGACGCACAGGCGCTGTTTCATCATTTGTACTAAAGCTATCAGCCGGCTCCTCCTCAGTGGCGGGGCTCAGACAGGAGAAGCTCAGAACTGCCAACGTAAAAGTAAAAAATGGATTGAGAGGTCAGAGGGAGAAGAGGAGAGTGGAAAGTAATCCCTAAAAAATAATAAAAATGTAGTGTTAAGGAAAATGGAACTATTCAGCTGACCAGATTGCATCTTTTATTTCAGGATAGGTCATAAAACAGCAGTCATTTTCTGCAAGGACTAAAATCGATGGAGCCGGGACAGGGCAAGGGTTAAGATGGCTTGAACAGCAACGCAGCAGGCAATAACCCCACTTCAGAGAGGCCAAGGAGCAAAACAGCCAGCGGGGAGGGCGAGGTGGTGTGGCGGGACGGAGGGTGGTGACAAAGTCTGATGTTGATATTGGCATAGGGGTGTGCTGGCTGGTTGGACATTCTACTCGGCAACACTTAGTTTGAAGAGGCTAAGATCCCGAAGCCGTTTAAATTGTCTGAATCTTAGCAGAGTATCTCTTAAAAAATGTTACAACTAATTTTTGATTTAAGTTTTCAGCTATGCGGTCTCTGTTTGCAAAATGAGTGTGTGTAACCATTAACCAAATATGGCTCCAGTAAGAGATGTATTGTGATGCTGAATTAACTATAAAATACTAATCATGGAACGCAATTATGCTTATTTGATGCTCTGTGGCTCACACGGAGCCACATATCTTATTTCCTTTTAGTTAGCACAGCTGAGTTTTGTGGCTCCATTCTTTTTTTTTTTTTTTTTTAAGTGCTTTCCCAATATTTCCAGGGCTCTTTTATTTATTTTTTAATTAGTTAGTGTTTTATCTTATTTATTTATTTAGTTAGTTTGTTTATCCTTTCCCGAGGACATTTTTTCTATCGATTTTTAGGGAGAGGAGGAGGAGAGAGGAAAAGACAGAGAAAAACACTGATGTGAGAGAAACACATCGATTGGTTGCCTCCTGCATGAGCCCTGACCAGGGTCTGGGTCAGGGAGGAGCCTGCAACTGGGGTACGAGCCCTTGACCAGAATTGAAACTGGGACCCTTTGGTCCACAGACCAATGCTCTATGCAGTGAGCCAAACTGGCCAGGGTTGTGGCTCTATTCTTGACCAACCACTTCACTAATAAGAAAACCAAATGTGTCATTTTCTTAATGCCGCCAGTGGTATATATGAAATAAACAGGCGAAGAAATTCTAGCTTATGGAATGCATTTTCTCCTAAAGCATACAGTTAGGGTACATGAATTCACTTGTTTCAAAATGAGAAATGGAAAACCATTATGAGTTTTATCCTTAACAAATTAAAAAAGGGACTTTTAATCATTCGTCTGCATGTAGCCCAGAGGTGAAGTTTCTCACCTATGTTTATATTATTTCTCCTTTTTCTCTTTACTTTTATTCCATACAATCTTATAATTTAAGGCTCCTATTCAAAAGAGTTATACAAGTACATGTAATATATAATATGTTCAATACAACTGAAGAATCTATAAAACCAACTGTTCCTGTTTTATTTTGAAATGATCTCAAAATACAAGGCTATCTCATGTTTTGATCGTTGGCACTTAAATATAAAAATGAGAAAGAAAAAACCAGAACAGTGTGGCACATGATAGAGTCGGTCCTGAGGATTCCCAACTGCTGGTTTGGGAAATGTTTTGCATCTTAACCAGTAACTTTAGAGCAATAAAACAGACAAAGATATTGTAAGAAATATTGCAAGAAAATTGTTCAAAGAGAAAACAGAAAAGTTTTCAGGCTTCAAACTGGATGTTCCTCCTGAAGGACCGCATAAAATAAATAAATGTGTTTTCCTACCCAGACCAAAATTCACCAGGGGCAGTGGCTTTTATTTCAGCCATGTGTCTTGTCACAAAGAACTCTGGACATAAGTATCCCGTGTATCTCTATTAAAAATTAATCCACCCAGGTCAGCTGACATCACAGCAGGTCAGAGATGACAGAGGGAAGAGCTGTATGCTTGCTACCTAAGTGATAAAAAAGAGGAGCTCCTGGGGGAATCTCAATTCAGACACCACAGCACAAGTGGAAATAAAGGAAATCCACTGCCAAAAGAGGGAACAGAGCGCTAACGCTGATGCGGTTGTTGGGATGTAGCTACTCTCTGTGTAGCTGGCTGGATCCATTTATGATACTAATGAAAATTGAGGTGATTTATTTCTAAGAAATCTGCACAGAATTAAGGGAGCTGAAGTTTTCCACATCTAATTTCCAACGCTGTATTATTTGGAGTCATTACTACTGGGCATAGTGTCATCATATAGCTTTCAAATGCTAGAAGGTACTGTATGTCCCAGACACAGAGAGAGGTCAGCCCCAATGGATAGGGATCTTTACTGGGGGAATTCTTTTATAAAGTTTTCCTTGGCGTTTCAAAATTTAATCTTCGAACACTGGTCATTCTATTCAATTGTTCAACCAGAGGCCCTCAAACTACGGCCCGCGGGCCACATGCGGCCCGCCGAAAACATTTATCAGGCCCGCCGGGTGTTTTTGCCGCCGCTGCCTGTCCTGCTTAGCAGCCGACTCGTCCCGGGCCCGCAGTGCGCATGTGTGGAATGTCTGAGGGACAGTGAACTGGCCCCCCGTTTAAAAAGTTTGAGGACTCCTGGTTCAAACAATGTAGCAAACTATCAGAGCTAAAAGGGACCTTAGTCATCGACTTTATCAATCCAAATTTAATTCTTCTACTTCATATATCTGCATTGCCCCTCTCTGCCAAGTGAATAAGCAGGCCTGCAATAGCTTCATTTATGTTATTAATAAATGTGTGACCCAGAACAGGGCTGAGGACTTACTGACTTTGATTCATCCACCTGCACATTTAAGCAGAGCTGCTTCATCAGTTACTAATTCCCTATTCTCCCTGACTGTCTCTGTCCCTTCCACATCTCTGACAAGGCCGTCACTAGTCCCAGTTAAAGAAAGGACCAGGGAGGCCGCTTCAAATGCACCACTGCCCTAACACAGAGAGAGAAAGGAAGGGAAAGAAACGAAAGAAACAAAAGGAAGAAAGTTGGTGTGACATGATCAGTCCTTGGTAAATCTGTGAGGGACCTAGTGATTACTGACTTCTGTGTTCAGAGCCATCCATGATTATTATGTAGAAATGGGCTCAGGTTTCAAAGAGGGCACTTCAGCTGTTTTTTCTTTTTCCCTGAAACTGTACTTGGAAATGTTTATGAAGACAGTAATAACATCAGCTAACATTCACATAGTGCTTTTTAAGTGCCCACGCTGTGATGAGCACTTTGCATATAATAGCTCATTTAACCCTTGAACAAACTTACTTAGTAGATACTATTATATCTATTATTTATTATTATTGGCTGTTATAATTATTTAAAGATGGGGAAGTTTAGGCCAAAACTGAGGCATGTTTACTAACAACACTGGTTAAGTGGAGGAGCCAGGATTTGAACCCAGGATGTGCCTGGATCTTCACCGTTACGGTCTACTGACTGCCAGGATACAATGCTTAGAAAGAGGTGTCAGAGTGGAAGTCAGGAGACTTTGTTATATTGAATCATCATTTTGATTCTTTTGGTCTCAACTTTCTTATCTGTATAATGGGAAGCTTCCACTGGAAGATCTTTATGATCCCTTGCTGCTTTTCTATCATTCTTTCAGAGAATTATTCTTTCCAAAGTTATTTTCAATACATAATAGTGGTGAACAAGATATATGGCATATTCTATGCCCTTTAAAAATGTTGTTTTAAAATTAATTTCACCAGGACAAATCTAATAGAGTAGATTTCAGTGCTTCCACAAATGGATTCTCCCAAATCCACATGAACTGGTTGATTAGGAACATTCTAGCTATGCAACTTCGATGAGCTTTAAGTAACAAAAAAATTCTATATCTATGTACTTATTTAATTTTGGAGAGTGGGAATAATAATAGTGATGATAATGATACGTGGATAGATCAATTAATGTGCCCTAATAAACAGGTACATATGGGGAGGGGGGAAGGAGAGAGAGAAAGTACATATCATTTATATGCCAACAACCATGATTAGACTCTGATCCTACATTCCCTTTGAGAGGGTTCCCCTCTAGGTAGCCTACAGAATATACGTATTAGTTTCCTTTCACTTTTTGTTTTTCTGGTACAGTGTATTCCAGAAATCAGAGAATGTCATTTCCACATGGGATGGTCATTAAGTACTGTCTCCCTTGATATTCTACAATTCTACATGAATGAGAGAGTATGAGTTATGGTGTGGGGATGGGAAACAAACAAGCAAACCAAACAGAGGGGTTACTCCAAGGGAGGCTCGGAGACTGGTGGTAGAGACTGATAGATGGATATTGACTTATATGGTTTTGGTAGCTATTACTTCCACTTACATAATTTTGTTGCATTGATTTCACATTCATGGTTAAAATTAGTGCAGAGTTTATTCCTTACTGGAAAGTCACCATTTTGTTTGTTTCTTATTGAAGCTATAAGAAAGATGATATTTTAGTGATATGCAGGAATTGATTTAAAAAAAAGTTAAAGCATGTTATCTCATAAACTACACGGATAACACGACTTACATTCCTAAGCCTATTAAAAAGATATTTTCCCCAATAAGCTTTTTCTTTACTCTATCTAGTTTCCCAGTACAAAATAAAAATGTTGGGGCCTTCATATTACTATTATTTATCTGGAAGAAAGTTCTTAATATTAAGTTGTGAAATAATTTTGAGGAAACTATAAGTTAACCTTCAACCACTCTGGGGAACATTTTGAGCTTTTTATTTGCCTGTTAAACTATGTTGGAGGAGATTATAAATTTATGATTAACCAAGATAAAAATAATCAAACAGTCCATTTTAGGAGGAAGAGGAAGAACCTACCTGCCTCTTTACTGACTAAATCATCAAGACAATGTAGTTAATTTGAATTCTGACCAAAAATCCTAGTTCTTATTAGAGCTTTATGTTAATGTTATGGGGAAACCATATTACTGAAACCCAAATACAGTGTTTGTTTTGACTACTGCTTTTTTCTTTTATTGGGGCAACAGTGGCTATTATGGTACTATTTCCGGGGGGGAGGAGCGGGGAGAATGGTGTTTATAATGTCTGAATTAAAAACATACCAGGTTATTTCAAACTACACAAAACAAAAGAAGAACAACGAAATACTACCAGGAATGTATCACTTAAAAACAAAACAAAAATCCTGCATTTCGAAATTTTTCCCACCAGTGAATGTATCATGAGCTGGGAAGATCTTACAAAAATCTCAGCCCTACAGCCTAAACACATGCAAAGAACTAGAATGTGTTTCTTAGATTGAAAAGAGGGAAAACTAGAATAAAAAACAGCTTTCGCTTCATTAAGCCCCGGGTGCCAGGAGCATAATGGAACTGCTATTGTTCACCTTGTGGTCTCTTTAGTTCACCATTTGGTAGCTCATCTAAGATCATTACCATAATGAGTACTTTTTGGTTAAAAAAAATAAAAAAGGAGGGGAGGAGAAGAAGAAACAAGGAAACCCAGGCACTTTTAAAAAGATTGCTTTCTCACAGCTGCGCTTCTCTGCTAAGTCACTGTGTTAAGGCATGTGCTGCTCTGAGCTTAGAAGCCTGACTTCTCCCCCTCTGCAGCCTCAAACGCACGCCTACAGAGGCAGATGGGCATTTGTTCTGCATACGCACTGATCTGTGTTTGGATGCGGACACATGGATAGTGAGAGAACAGCAGCTTGATGACACTGTTCCAATATCCTTCCTGAAATATGGCTTTGACATGACGAGGATCCCCTCTTCTTCCTTACGAGTACATTTCTAACATTTTTTCTAACCAAAAATCTCTAGAGAAAACCATCTAAAACACTGTATTAGAGGCAATCAATAAGAAACACTTTAATGCAGAGTCCTCTTTAATTAGCGGATCCCTTATGTTTGCTAATCTGGATTTTAAAAAGTCTATAATAACAAGCACAGAAACACAACAAAGCAAACCAAAACAGCCCTGAAAAATGGGAAGGAGATTTAATGAAGAAGGTCGATGGCTGGCACGCAGTCGGGGGACAAAGGGTTACACTGAGACGAAATCCTAAATGTGTCCCGGCTCCTTAGGACTCTGCTTGGTACTATTAGAGGGAAGACGCTCCACACAGCAGCACTCCCGGTGAGTGGAAAAGGAAAAAGAATAAGACTGCAAGGTGACACAGAGAGCGGGCACGCACATTTTCTCCCTTAGAGGGCAATTACTCTTGGCAGCACTAAACAGGACACGTCCTATGCCAGGGAAAGGATTTTCAGTCGTTTAGAAACGCCGTCACACCTGCACGCAGAGCTGTCACTCTCACCCACACACGCCTCTCGGCTACTCTCCTTTACATACGCTCTTCCTTTATGAAACCACCCAAGCGTCAGGCAGCGACCCTACCTGCCCAGCTCTTGCCATCACACAAGGCGGTCAGGTCCAGCCGGGGCACCTCCAGGACGAAGCTCTCCTGCGGGGTGTCGGCATCAGGAGTCCTCTGCAGTTTGGTGTCAGGGATGCTGGGGTGCTCCTGGATCTTCATCGTGGGGCTCTGCAATAACAACACAACGTCCCTGAGTCCCTACTGCTCACCAAGACCCAAAAAACGTCTGCAGCAAGTCCACTCCGTCCGGATGAGACCTCCCAAGCCACGGCTGCTGGTGCACCCGGCACAGAAACCAAAATCCTAGCCTGATGCCCCTGGACATTAGCTGGTCACTCGCGAGCACAAAGCCACTGTCCGTCTGTCTGCGCTCCTTTAACTTTTCTTCTGCGAGAAAGACAAGCTCATTTCCCAGGGCCACTCCTCCTGACAACGGCAGGCGGCTGGCGGTCTTGAAGATCACTGATCGGGGCCAGAAAGGAGGGAGAGGAGTTTGTTTCCTTAAAGGAGCTTGGCTCTCCAGACTGTAAACAACCACCCCGCTACCGTTGCTGCGAAGGCTGTGGGAGCAACATGGTGTCTTCTGCCGGCAGACTTCTTTGCCCCTTTGCGTAAACAGTCCCGAAAGGCCAGGAGCAGAGAGACTGAACACTGCCCGCCCTGCAGGCTTAGATCAATTAAGAGGAGCGAGGCACATTCCCAGATTTCCTGCGGTGGTTTTCTCCCTGAGTGTGGGGAGAGCAGACTATTTATGGAGGAGCGCTGGGTATTAAAGAATCATTGCGCAAATTCAAATAGCACAGAGGTTTGGCACCTTATCTCAGCTAGCAGTAAGGAATATGGACTCTGGAAATGAGCCAGAATTATACAGGGAACACACCTTTTTTTTTTTTTTTTTTTTTTTTTTTTTTTTTTTTTTTTTTTAGTAAAAAGCCAAGAGCTGGCAAGTCAGCGATGCATAATTTATATCTAACAAATATGCAACTGTCACTGAGTATTAAATACTCCGCTACACTTGGCTTTGCTTACTGATGCAACTACACCAGGCTGGAATATCTGGGGGAAGGGAAACCCTCCCCGAAAGGCTGCAATTTTAGCTAAGTGATTTTATGTTCTGAAAATTGCACTGAAATGAATTCTTTTTTTACCCTGTTCTTTTGGTATCTTGTCACTTTCCCCTCTTTCATAAAATTATAAACAGAAGTGTTTACCCACAAACATATTTCTCAAGTAGCACTTAACCTGTACTGTACCAAAGATTTTCTTTGAGAAAAACTGGAAATTTACTTTAGCAAATATACCATCGTTAAATGAAAAAGACAAAAACATCTGGAAGTCATAAATGATTCCATAATGAGAAATGTTCTTATGCTTAAAATAAAGTACTACTAACATTTCCAGCTACTTTTAATAGCTATTCAACCTACTTTAATATCACCAGGGGAATAGCCGGAGCTTTTACTATTACCATGAAATGATGTGCCAGGACTGGCATTCTCTTCGCATTTGGGATAAAATGAAATCTCATCACTCGCTTTATGATGAGCTACTAAAGTCAGATAGAAATGCCAAGTGAACCTGGGACTTTAAGATACTTCAAAAATGCTGCTTGCCTAGTGGGGGGAAAAAACCCGATTATGCATTTATACTACAAGAATTACTTATTCCTTGAGCTGAATCCTAAGTAACCAGTGCTGAGTGACTTATCTGGTGTTCAGCTTTTTAGAAGTTACAGGGCCAATCTGCCGTCCATTGTGTGGTGTGTGTGTTAGAATCTGCATACAGCAAATACACATTTTCTTAATTAAGATTTATGACAGCTGCTACACTTAAGAGTCATAAAGAGGTAGGACTATAGGAAATGCGATTCTGTGCTGGAAGTCTGGCATTTTCTTCACAAGGAATGTGACCGAGCCCCCGGGGCTGTGCAGCAGTGGAACAGACAGGGGCTTTGCTCACGGCCGACCTGGGTTTGACGTGTGACTGCCGGTCACTAGCTCGGTGCCCAGGCTGGGCCACCTCACTTCCCTGAGCCTCCATTTCCTGATCTATACAACCCGGCAATCACTCCAATCTGGGAAGCTCCTTTGAAGGTCTGAGAGAAGGTATGACAAGCCTCCAGCAGGGTGCTCGGAGCGATCATTCTTTATTCTATCAGGCACCCTGTGGAGAGGAGTAAAACACTGGCACGTCTCCAAGTGCTGGAGAAAGGAGCTGGAGAAGAGCCTACACAACCTGCTTTGAGATGGCACGTGCTACAAGACAGGCGGAGCAGAATTTTAGGTGCATTACCAAAAAAATTAGAGAACAAAACCACTTGTGTTCCCGTCAGGTGTCAGCAACAGAAGTTTTGACTGGGGTGCAGACCGTGTGGGTCGGAGGGGCAAGTACAAAGGCAGGCGGGCAGCAGGGTACCCGTGGTCACAACAAAAGAAGGGGTTCCTGGTGGCTGGCTCTGGAGATACAAAAGGGGTTGGCAGATGCCGAGGGTGTTGCGTAAGCAGGGGGCGGACTGAGAAAGGCCGTGTATACTGGGCTAAGTTTGGATTTTATGCTGTAGGAGATAATAGAAAGCCATTGAAGGATTTTAAACACAGAGTAATAATGGCAAAATGTGCGTTTCCAGGAGACCTACAGGCCTGTGACCTGGGCTGTGCAGGCCACCAGGCTTCACTCCCCAAACCAGTCCCTGGCTCTGCTCCCTCAGGGCACTGCAGAGATTGACATCAGACATGTAAAAGCCTGAGACTCCACACATATACAAATTAATGTAAAAACGCATACTTTTTATGATTGCTATATCTGAATTAGCACCAACTTCAAAGTAAAAAAATTAAAATTTTCTTCATTTTCTTTTTCCAAAAATATGAATTTCTAGTTATTCTTTCAACAGCACGGTTTGGGGCACCCCCTCTCTGCTGGGCTCTGTGTAAGACATGCAGGCTTCCTGCGCGGAGAGAGCTGGCATTCAGGGGCACAGGTTCGAGTACGTCCGGGCAATTTTGGTGCAATACACCAATGTGAGTTAGTGAGCTGCCCGCCTTCAGTGTTCAAAGAAAGTCTGAGAGCCAGGCCTGTGGGAGAGGGAGAGGGTACCACGCTGGGTGGGATGCGAGAATAAATAACCTCTGTAAGATTCTACTCTTCTAACGAAGAGAATCACGTCACCATTGTACTACTTTACTCAGTAATAATATGTCACAAACTACATGTGTGTAACAGGGCTGTGCATTACATGTCAGCTGCATACAAAGGCAATTTATTTAGTCATTTAAGAAATAATTTTTTAGTACCTACTATGTGCTAGACAGGCATAAAACTTTAGTGGACAAAATAAGGCCTCTGTGTAATGAACCGTACAGAAGAGGACAGTTAATCAGAAAGAACATGTCAGGTAGCGATATGGACTATGGAGGAAAATAAAGCAGGGTAAGGAGGCTGGAGAGCGGGGGCAAGGTCTGTTATTTTATATTGGGTGGTTAGGGAAGTCCTTTCCAATATGAGCAGAGACGAAAGAAACGAGTGAGCAAGCCGTCGATGGAAAGAGCACTCCAGGAAGAGGGGAAGCAAGTGTAAAGGTCCTGAGGCATGAGTATTTTGTAGCCTTTGAGGACTAGCAACGAGGTCATTGTACCTGGAGGCAGGGTCACCCTATTTGGGCATTTAGTACGTGCACTGTACCACATATAATGGGATTATCATTCATAATGGAGACCTATGTCGACTTACAGGAGGTTTTGGACTTGCTGGCCGATTTCCTACACACCAGTGGAGCGGTCCCTCCTACACAGACCTGCACCAGCTCCCCAGCCATGGACACACTTAGCACGGCACTCACTCACCAGCACACGCACATGCTCAGCCTGTCCAGCTGTGCTCTGACCATCCCTGAGGCCGCTCTTTCACTTGCCTGCTGCCTGCAGAAGCCTGATTCCCAGTTGCTGGCTCCACTGGTCTCTGAACCTGACATGGCTGCCTGGCCAGTAGCTGCACCAGGTAGTGGACTCCTGGTGCGGGCACAGCGCTTATGCACAAGGGACCAGCAGTGCTGCTCAGGGGCGGCCCCTGGGGAGGCTGGGCTCTGTAGCAATATACTAGCAGAAAACGACTCTCCCTTCAGATGCTAGTCAGGCTCAGCTGGGTGAGGCACCTCGCCAGACGGTTCCACTCTACTAGCCCTTACAATACATTCTGCACTTGTCTACTTGCTTGTCTGTTTCTCCTACTAGATAATTAATGTTAACATGTCAGAGACATTCTCAAGTACCAAAATATTTTTTTTAGTTTCAATTTTTGTTCTTTATACGTCTTATAGCTTCAGTTAAATCAGAGAGTACATAAAGTCAATTTCACAATTTTCAACTGAGATGTCACACATTAAACCCTTGTCAAAATGTTGTGCTATGTGAAAACACACTGAATATTCATGTACTGAAATAAACGGACTGGCTCTTAGGAGAGGCAATATGGTATGGCAGATGGGTTTTAGAGTCAGAGGTGTGAGTTTAAATACCACCTTAGTAGCTATAAGATCTTCAGTGGGTAAACCTCTTTGTACTTTAGCTTCTTTTCTCTAATATAGAAGATGACTTCCTAAAGTTGTTGTGATGATTAAATTTAAAAAAATGCATAAAACCAGTCAGCCCAGAGTAACTGTAAAAGAAATGTTATTTGCATTTATACACCATCTTCCTTTTGCATTCATTAATTTGGCACGTGTTTATTGAACACATACTATGTCCTAAGCACTGGAATGACAAGAACTAACAAGATAATGGTCACAAAAATAAAAAAAATTACAACTATGTGGTGATGGATATTAACTACACTTACTGTGGTGATCATTTCACAATATATACAAATGTCAAAGCATATTGTAGACCTGAAACTAATATAATGTTATATGGTAATTATACCTCAACTTAAAAATCTGATAATAGAATTTAGCATGGAAGGCAGACATTGAACACATAAGTGCCAAGTATCATGCATGTTCTAAAAGAAATACCCAGTCTGCTAACAAACAAATAATGAGAGAGCTCACCTTGCCTGGGGCCTCAGGTAACATACCTCATTAGGGTCAAGGAACAAATAACTACGTCTATCCATCTGGCTGGGCTGGGCTTTTTTATCCCCAGACTTTATTGATCCTGTTCCTTCTCTGGCTTCAAATAGTTGAAAAATTTCTCTACCCTCCTCCCTTCCCTGCACAGGCCACAGATAAGTAGCCTGACAGTTTAGCAGAGCCAGGAATGTCGAGGTCACAGAGTGTACTGAATAATGCAGTTTGCACAGGAAGGAACCACACACTGTTAATAGAAGGACCACATGGAACCATAAATATTTACTGTTTGGCCTGACAAGAGAGGAAAACGGACATAACAAATTTTCAAAATCCATGTGAACTGCAAAGCTTCAGTCATCTTTCGAGACTGGATGGAACCAGAAATGAATCTAAACAAGTAAAGCCTTTTAGTTTTTCTGGTTCTAACATTATAACCAATAACAAAATCCTAAAGCTTCCATGAAATACAGTGAATTTGAAATAACAGAGCCATCCATTTCATAAATACTTGTTAATGGGTGTACTTCAGAACCTATCTCAGGGAAAAGTGAAGTCTGCACTTGAGATCTTGTGATCAATATTAATTCTCAGCCTTGCCTTCTCTCCTTTCTCCCTTGCCTCTCTTCTTGTCCTTCTTTCTGCTTTATTTTTTTTGAAGCAGGATTATTTATTATGAATGTCTTGTTTGTTATCGAAGGTATGCTCCTAAGCTCTCCTAAGCAGTAGGCTTAGAATACAAAAAGAATGTAAAAGTATCTTTGAAGAATTTAACCTTCATTAACCTTATACTACTGACATAAAATCTCCCCCAGATAATATAATGCCCTTCCATGTAGTGAGTAATTCTTACATGGTTTGCTTTTTGACAAAGTGATTTAAGTATAAATTTATAATTTTACTATTATGGATTTTATACTGAAGCATAATATATTTCCACAATAGAAAATAACTTATCAGAAGGAATCAAATAGAAGCATAAGGTATAAACTCCATTTAAACAGAAGTCTGAAAAATCTGTATTTTCAGGGATAATTTTTAGAACCTAGAATTTGCTAGTTTTAAGGATGACTTCTCTTCGGATCCTTTCAATGGTTTAGTTTAAAAATAAAAGACAATAATGTGGTGAAGGCCTGGGGTGGGGCAGGGGCTCGGTGGAGGGGGGCAGAGAGGGGGGGAAAAGGGGGTACATCTGTAATACTGTCAACAATAAAAAAATTATAAAATAAAAAAATAGAAAAAAATAAACAAAAGAACATACCCAAATAAATCATACTTACAGTGTCAGCATTTTGAAGTGACTCAACTTTGTGTTTCATTATCAATACGTCACCGAATAGATTTTAGTACAGTCCATTTAAGAAACTCAGATAAGGCCCTGGCTAGGTAGCTCATTTGGTTAGAACCTTGTCCTGACACACCAAGGTTGTGGGTTTGATCCCCAGTCAGGGCACATACAAGAAGCAACCAATGAATGCATAAGCAAGTGGAACTACAAATTGATGTTTCTCTCTCTCTTTCTCTCTCCTTTCCCTCCCTCCCTCCCTCCCTCCCTCCCTCCCTCCCTCCCTCCCTCTCTCTCTCTTTCTCTCTCTCTCTCTCTAAAATCAATCAATAAAATTTTTAAAAAGAAGAAACTCAGATAAAATAGAAAATGGATAATTCTCATTCACCGTCTGAGATTGCAGCGGACTGCGTAAGATTAGTAGTATAATTATAAGAAATTAAAAAGATGAACAACACAGTTGGATAAGCCCATTTTCACTTTTCAACACATTCATTCAAACAAAACCACATTTAAGGCTGCAAAATGATTACTTAATAAATATAGTTGCATTTTATCTGCATTTGCCTTGGAGAAGCAGACTCTGAGACAAGCCTCTCTTTACAGAGCATTTGAGGCTGAAGGTCAGGGTTCCTTATTCTAATGGAAATAAATTCTGGTCAAAACAAGAGATAAACCACCTTTCCCTAACAGGTGTCATTTGCTGTATCTTGCATGAAAGCGAGAGTTTACAAGGAGAATTTAATAGATAATAATATTAACGAAGATAAAATCTGCCTTAATGGCCCTGGCTAGTATGACTCGGTTGAGCATCATCCCATGTACCTAAAGGTTGCTGGTATGATTCCCTGTCAGGGTACCTACAAGGCAACTGATTGATGTTTTTTCTCACATTGAGTTTCTCTCTCTCCCTCTCCCTCTCCCTTCTTTTCTCTGGCAAATCAATAAAACATATTTTAAAAAAGATTTTTAAAAATTTGCCTTAATGGAAAATTAAATTGGAAACATTGTCATGTCAATTTTGGCATGTCAATTTTGGCATCTCTATCTGATGCTATAGGAGCCCTGAAAGAAAATATTGGCTCAACAGAATTTGAGGAGCAGTAACCAAAGTCTAGATTTATTTTTCATCTCTGAAATTTAGAAATTATTATGGTATGACCAGAAAAACACATTAACTATTTCAGTTGTATAATGTTCTAGAAAGTGCTACATGTATTAGAAAGTAAACAATTACAAAACAAACAAGGGAAAGAAGTTTTAAAAAGGAAGATGGGTCTTTCACAGCCCTTCAAGAACAATGTATTTCCGTCAGTGCAAGAAGCACGTGCCTCCGTGAGTAGAAACACAATCCCACGTCTTGTGGAGTGATGTCTTTTTCCTCCTTTGGTGCAGTTGTGAAAGGTGACACAAGAGCTTAATCTAGATTTTAACTCACTGCATAGTTTTATCTCCTAGCTAAAATTATTATGATGACCATGATTATTAATAGTGAATGCGTAAGGAGTGCCAACAGTGGGCTAGGTGCTGATTAGTAACTGCACATGGGTGGCACATGTAAAAATAGGTCCTGGCAGGTAAAAAAGGATTTGAGATTCTTTCCCCATGATTCAACCACGGCCACGGGAGCCAGCCACAGAAATCCCAAGGCAAACTGAGTCCAGTATGAGTTAAGTTTGTGTGCCAGTTGGAATTTATGAGTTAATGCTATGAAGTTCATCCACAAAGGTTTGAGCTCATAAAGAATAACAGGCACACAAGGGAAGAACTGAGAAGACCTCTCCAGAAGGCTGGCAAAGCAATTTTCTTTAAAATAACGATCAATGGCATGATAAGTAGGTGCCTGCTGTGATCAGAGGAAGAGAGCAGAGAAAGGATAAAACCAGAAGAAAACAAAACAACAATATCCCAGGGAAACCATGCTCTGAGAAAAGGTACTTAGGGACAAGAAAAGAATGTCAGCTTGTTGCGTGGGTCCCACGGAAGGCAGTTGGAAATGAGAGATGAAAGAAATGGCTCAGAAAGAGGCCACTGGTGAAGTCAGAAAGAGGAAGCGTTTCCCTACTCTTATCTGACTGGGTTAATGAAGAAGTATCCATGACAAAAACTGAATAGAGGATTATGCGGAGCCCACAGCCATTCATTTCCAGCATTTTTATGGCAACTTTTACATGAATGTGCATTTTTCTAGGAAAGGTCCACAGCTTTTAGATCTGTAATCTGCTAGATTATAAAACCCTATGGAGGCAGGGGCTGCAGCTGCTATGAAATCCCAGCTCCTAGCCCAGTACCTGCACATAGTAGAGCTTAATGTAAGTTCTTGAATAAATCCATCAGTGAATTAGGTCCGTGCCCAACAAAGATTAGGATTCACTAGGTTAGAGGGAGAGTTCTATGCATAATTAATATATCAAGAGTAGATTCCAGGTTGAGAAAAGCTTTAATTCTTGCCAAAAAGAAAACACAAGAAGAAGAAAGGTGGAGCTGGAAGCGTGAGGCAGTAGTAGAGGACATACACACACAAATGAAAGATGAAGCTGAGCGCACGGAACGGAAGCCAGAATTGGGAGCAAGGGAACAAATGCTCGGTCAGCCTGGCGATGGCCTCCGAGGACAGCAGGGAAGCCAGCCGAGTCACCGAAACATGAAGATATAGACGACATAATGGAGTTAGACATTTTTTCCAACTTGTCTACTTAAAATAAGACACAAAACTCAGAAAATGTATTGGATTTAATAACTCAAACTGATTTTATGATAATCTGAAAGTTAATGAGCTAATCCCTGTGAGAGAGCCACTAAAACTCACTTTCTATTTCAATCACTTAAAAATGCATAAAATCATGGAAAACCCAACCAGTAGCTTTGATGTTTTATTTTATTTTTAAATATATTTTTATTGATTTCAGAGAGGAAGGGAGAGGGAGAGAGAGCTAGAAACATCAATGATGAGAGAGAATCAGGGATCGGCTTCCTCCTGCACGCCCCCCACCGGGGATCGAGTCCACAACCCTGGCATGTGCCCAGACTGGGAACTGAACCGGGACCTCCTGGTTCATAGGTAACGCTCGACCACTGAGCCACGCCGGCCGGGCAATGTTTTGTTTTATTTTATTTTTAAGAAAAAACCTAAAGAGAAATCTCCATGCTACTCAAGTTTATTGTGCAAGTAAAAATCAAAGAATTGAAAAAGCCAAAGAATGGCATTCTTACGTTTTCTCAAGTAATATTTACGTCCCCATATTTACTTTTCTAACCAATCACAGTCCTGCCCCTCAATCTTATTACCCCTTACTGACAGGCTAACAACGCTTCCTGTGTACTCTCAGGAATATACCAACAGTCCTGTCACAGTTACAGTCTTACTTGTTAGCGACTTACCTCAAAATGCTGGCTGTGGCCACTGTCTTTTTCATTTTCTTTCCTATAACAAAAAGTGTCACAAAGTGTCAATCTGTTTTATAACAATGCTTTTCATCCACTGAAATTATAATTTACTTTAAAAGTAGGCTGAGTAGCTCTAAATAAAATTCCTAAAAAATTCAAAACCGAAAGAAAACAAAAAAGTAATAAAAATAAAACAAAAGTAGAAATACAAACATGAATATGGTATTTGGCTTTAATAGCACCAGGGTAGATTTTTTATTCTAAGTATTTTCCTTGCTATGAAATACTGCTGGTAAACATACAGTCCATTAATTCTATTCATTTTAGTTTTTATAATGCACATTGCATTAAGTAAAAAAAAAAAATCTATTCAAACTCATAAAAAATATGAGGAGAAAATTCTAAAATTACCTGTCATCAGACATCAGTTCAATATGATCAGGTCTAGCACTCTCATGAGATGGGGTGGAGTTGAGACTTTCCATATTCTGTAACAAAGCAAATCATTGGGTGCCCAGTAGAAATGGTAAGAAATATGCAACAGCATACTCTGCCTTCTTTAAAACAGAAAAATTAGATATGTAGATATAACTAATTCTTGTCCTTGTATTTCTATGTTTGTTAAAACTAGTAAAATGATGACAGTTTATTATTATACACTGCTTGCAGAAAAGTGTATATTAAATTTTATCGTTTCTTTAACAAAGATATCTGACAGCACCATAGAAATGGACATTTTGCCCGATAGTGTGCTTGTTAGGTACTCTCCACATTTTATAACTAAACATAGGAAAACTCAGGTTGTCAGAATATGAGGATAGCATTAGAACTAGAATAGAGGAATCTGACCTTGAAACTGATCAAAAACTGATGTAACACTCCTTATTTAACAACTTTCATACATATTGCCACTATGATCTGGGGTAATATATAGCTATGCTGTAAAATACCTATAAAAAGAAATGGGGTTGTCTTAACCTTTCTGCAATATTTAATGTTAATCTTTACATCTGCTAAGATAAAAAATACAAATGGGAAACCTACTTTGAATGGCATGTATTTCATGCTGACCAGGAGGGCGTAATGCTTATCAGGAGGGATATCTGCAAGGTTTTTTGACTGCCTCTGTGAATACCAGGCAATGCTTTCCACAAACAATTCGGATGACTGAGCACAGAATAAGTAAGCATTCCCCATGAAGGAAGATTGTAAATAAGCAAATGAGCACATTTACATTTAGCAGACTCAAGAACATAACTGCCTTAGAGACTTGGATCCGAATACCATTGAACTCAAAGATTCATATCTGCAAAAAAGATCATGAAGCATAATTCACCTATTCTGTGCCATTTAAATAACCTACACACATATTGAAGCAACATGTATTCACCTACATATTTATAACCCCCCATTATGAAAAACTCTTTACAAAGGATCACAATACTCCCATGAAACTGACATATATTTAAAAATACAACAACAACAACATACAATTAAGATAAAAAACAAATCTTTGACTTGGTAAATAGATGAATTATTTTCCTTTTATGTTGGTTTGGCCAACTTGTCTATAATTCTTAAAGTTTAAAATACTAGGTAGGCTTCATCAAAGAATAGAAACTAAGGGAAACAGCATAATATAATAGTTATAATGGTGGCTCTGGAGTCGGAATGTTTGGGTTTGGATTCTAGTTTTATCATTTAGCAACCATATGACCCTACTTGACCCTCAATTTGCCCATGTGGAAAATGGAGATGGCAACATTACTCAACACGGGGGTGGTCATGAGATTAAATGACATAATACAGTTAAAGCAGAATTATACCTGGTACATTTAATGAATATTAGCTGTTGTTGATATTATTATTCTTTCTAAAACTATGAAACCCCCAAGGACAATATTTTACTACTTGTCCACAGTGAAGATGATGTCCCAGGAACTGAAAGACAGAGTTTGTGTTTGCTACTGAACAAGGATTTACATGCTGAGATAATTTACACCGTTAGATAATTTTAGAATAAACCTGAGAACTTTAAAAAAATGACAACAATTATATTCCCGTTTTTGTTACTCTAAAGCTTAAGTAGCTTAGGTTACAAGAAGCCTCTTTAAAATGGCTCTCATTTAACCAAAGCAGAATTGCTCCTATTACCTGGAAGTGATCTTCTTGATAAAGGGTGATGTATCTATGACAAAGAATCTTTGTTTGTTCTCATAGGAAATCTTTAATAGATTATCAAAATCTTTAGTGCAAGATCTAGTGCAATAGTATTAGGTTTTCCTAAAGTTCTGAAACATGAATTCTTAGAGAAAGCATAACCAGATCATTTTAAAACAGTGTCAATAACATACTTTTATAATGATATGCAAATGACTATTTCCAAAGACATACAAATTTTTAGATTAAGGCTAAGAAATATTCAGAAAGGGAGAACAGAAAATAAGCCATAATAGAATTACATAAATGCAAAGATATTTCCGTAGGACAATGTCAGAAGATTGATTTTTTTCCTAACAGAAAGAACCAAGATATAACTGATATAGGTTTTGAGAATTAAAAAGAAAAGAAAAAGAAAGTATAGATAGGTATGTTATACAATAGGAAGCTTTGCAAAAAGCAGTTGAAAATGTGAGAAAGTTTAGCTGATCTCCAGGGATAAAACAAGTAGTAACTTCTTCAACTCCCTCCCCACTCCACTTTTTTCAAAGTGTTTGGTCCAAATGTTTAAGAACTCCCCAAGGACCCGAGTTTTTATAGATGTAACTGACAAATGGTGACTTTCCGTACTGTTCAGTCATCCTCTCTAAAGCTTTATAAGAATTCCTACTTTCATGCCGTCCTCCACACATTTGAGACTGTTGAATATTCATGGTCTGCTTTTACAAAGCAGCATGCAAGTACACAGTGTTCCTTTGCTAAGGTAGTTGGATTGCCCTCCTATACCTTTTGGAAACAGGAACATGTGAAGAATGTGTTACAACTGGCAACCTACCTCAATTTTTTTCAGAACGAACCTAACAAGGGTAGTAAAGATCTATAAATGCAGTAATGAAAATACCTATTTCCCTGGGAACAAAATGTTTTATAAATTCTGACTTCCATTCTTGCCTAGGATTTAGGGAGGTAAAATTAAGATAAGAGATAATATCGTAATTCCTCCACTTCCTTGAGGTGGGGAAAGGGACGAATGTAATGGCGAGGTCAAAATGAAGGCTGAAATATAGAATGCTTTTATTGTATGAGAAGTATGCTACTGGACTTTCAACTGTTCTGTTGTTGTTATTAGTACTTGTCTTATGAGAAAATGCTGGCTCAATGCCTTTTGAAGGTTTTGAACTGTTTTATGTCCGAAACTCTTCTCTAGGTGTGATAACAGCAGCTCATTAATGTTTTCATTTATTAAAGGTTGAAGTTAATAGAATTCTTACAAAAATGTTTTATTGCATTAACTTTTAATATGCCTTCTAAAGTTGTAATCTTTTAAACAGGCAATTTAAGGAATAGCAAAGAACAGAATATGACTTTGTAATATAATGAAATTGCTTCTTGAGTTATATTTTTTTTCAAAGTCAGGTAAAGCCTCATTTATAATGCAGAAAATTTTGCCTCATATAAGTCCTACAAGTGACTTTCAAAACACACACATTTGCTATGACATAATTTATTTGGAAAATTTCTGAGTGTCAAAGGGACATTTAAGAACTATACTTTTAAATTATAAAAGAACCTCAAATTTAAAAAGAGCAAATGCCTCTAAAAAAGCTTTAGGCTGTGGATTTTATTTTCAATTCTTACCTCCAGCTCTGTTTTGGCATTGAAGCTAAGGCTCAAAACCTGTTTGACCACTGAAGCACATGAAACCACTTGGAGCAAAAACAAATTTGTCTTCTAAAACTGTAAAATGCTGACAAAGCCTTTATAGAGGACACCAAAAGAAAGAAAATAGAAAGAAAGAAAAAAAAAAAGAAACGCCTTTTCTCAATATACAAACAGCTCAGTCTGACGGCTACATGGAATGCTTCTAGTCAAAACAGGCTCATTATTCTAACCTTGAGCTCTAGGAGAAGGAGAATATTTGATATATTCTCATTAACAAATGATGAATGGCAGATTTGAATCTCTTTGTGTTCCCTTTTGTATATTTTACTGCTTAAAACTATATAAATTAGCCCATATTAAAAAATAACTACTGGCACTGTTAAGAGATGCCTCTGGAAGAGCTTGCCAGCTGTCCACCCAATTCCATCCTTTTCATCCACAGAACTGCACAGCCACATGCCCAGCAAGAACACATCCCCTGCGTCCTCTGCAATGGGAGAGGGCCAAGTGACCAACTTGCCTCCAACATGATATGAGAAGCAATGTGTGTGGCTTCCAGACCTGGTCATGACACTAACTCACCAGGTACATGCCTCAGCATTCAATCGCTATTGCTTGCTCTCTCTCTCTCTCTCTCTCTCTCTCTCTCTCTCTCTCTCCTTGAGGTGGAATGGAGATGAAAACCACCAGAGTGCTGGGAAGCTACCTGCTGAAGACGGCAGAGAAGGAGTTGGTCTGGGGCCCTGAAATACTGTATGGAGCAAGCCCTCGACTCCTCTCCCCAGCCCTAAACTCCTGCTCTAGATGGTCACAGGAGAAGTAACGTTTACTATGTCCAAGACATTGTGTTTTGGGTCTTTTTGTTATACAAGTTACCCTAAACAATATGGCAACCATTCGTTCACTCTTCCCCCACCACATGTTTAGTGAGTGTCTAACCATCTGGGCATGGGGGTGCAATGGTGAGCCAGACACACACTTGTCCTTGTCACCATGACACTTGTATTTTGGTTACTGCTCCAACTGCAGTTTGTTACATTGTTTATATTACCTTGATTTCTGTAATAGGTTCTATCTGAATACAAATGTAAACATAAAATTCAAGGCCAGCACATTCTTTTCTTACTCAATAGAATACAAGGAAAATGAATCACAGATGTGTGTAAAAACATGATGAGATTAAAAAGTTAAAAGCTGTGGTACATTTGTGCAATGGAATACTACTTGGCTATAAAAAGAAAGAAATCATATCTTTTGTGATAGCATGACTGGACCAGGAGAATATTACGCTAAGTGAAATAAGCCAATCAGAGAGACAAACACCATATGGTTTCACTCATGTGTGGAACAAACAAAATAGAAACAGACTGACAGCTATCAGAGGGGAAGAGGGCTGGAGGAGAGGTTAAATAGGTGAAGGGATTAAGTAAAAAAAAAAAAACCCCAACAAAACACACACGTCAGATACAGACTACAGTATGGTGATTACCAGAGGAAAAGGAGGGTGGGCTGGGGGGGGGGGGGGTGTAGAGGAGGGAAAAGGGGAATAAATGGGGACTGAAGGATTTTGGGTAATGAATACAATATACAGGTGATCTATAATAATGAAAGCATAATATGCTAATTAGACCTGACTTGATGAAACCGGGGCTGCGAGGAAAGCCAT